TCTTTTTTCCATTGTATATCCTTGCCTCCTTTGTCGAAGATAAGGTGACCATAGGTTCGTGGATTTATCTCTGGGCTTTCTATTCTGTTCCATTGATCTATATTTCTGTCTTTGTGCCAGTACCATACTGTCTTGATGACTGTGGATGAGCAGTAATTTAAAATGAGGTTTTGCCTCTCCCATTTTAAAAAGAAAAACAAGGAGGTGGGTGCCAAATTCGAATTTACATTGGTTTAATGACTTGTTTGCCCACACACGCAGTGTTTCATAATAGTAATTGTGAATAGTTAAATACTTTCGGCATCATAACTGAGTACTTTTAATACTAGCCCTATTTTTCTGATATGGATGGACACTGAAGTTTAGGGAGGTTCGGAAGCCTATAAAGATGCACCTATGTAGCATAATGAATCGAGCTGGGATTAAGACCGTGTCTTCCTCTTTGAGAACCTGTACTATTAGTCTCACATTACACTAATTATAGAGTGATAATTTATGATCTGCTAAAATTACATACGGGCTTCCCTGGTAGTTCAGTGATAAAGATCTGCCTACCAATGCAGGAGACAGGAGTTTAATTCCTGCATTGGAAAGATCCCCCGGAGAAGGAAATGGCAACCCACTCCATATTCTTGCCTGGGAGTTCCCATGGAGAGAGAAAAGCCTGGTGGGCTACAGTCCATGCGTTCGCAGAGAGTCAGGCACACTTAGTGACTAAACAACAAAATTACGTATGCAAATCTGACCATGTACATTGTGAGTTTCATTTGTTTTTCTGTAGAAATTCATATTCTGGTTAGCATAGTTTCACTTCTAGACAATTAATGTGTTTCAGAGTATCCCATTCTGACCATCTGTGTTGCTCCAACCTGTGTTAAAATGCAGGCTTGCTAAACAAATATATACAGAATTCAGATTATTCATCTGAATAATTAAGAGAAATTAGAGACAAAAAAGTAACTTACCTATGATGATATAAAAAAAAAGAGAAATTAAAATCAGGGCATAGATCTTTGCTTTTCTTATGCCCATTTGAGAAATGAACACTGTCCTAACAATGTATTTAGCAAGTTTTTTTAAACTTTGACTTTTCTTTGCAAGTATTTTTCTAACAGACATTTTCTTTATGTACTTTGCTAATTCCTTTTCCTGTGTTCTAGTGTGAAGGAAGGAAAATATTACTCCCTAAAAATAATAATTTGCCCTCATGAAATCTGAGCTAATTATTATTCTTTTCTATCTACATGGATTTCCATGTTGGTTACAATGTGGGATGGGCTTTGACTTGGAGGAAAAGTCACCTTTTTCAGATTCAAGTTGAATAAATTTGCTCAGTAAGCATAGTTATTGTTTGCTAATGTTGGAATGTGACCAGTGTTTGATATGAGTATTAGTGAAAAGAATACTTAAATGAGTTTATATATACTAGTAGTCTAAATAATATTACGGTTCTATCCTCCCCCTTTTTGGTTTAAAATTCTTTATAATAAAAGTCTCTTAAAAGCTTGTCATTTCTTAAATATTTATTTGTTCCTGATTGGGCACGAACATGCACTTTTAGATGACCTCTCATTCTTTCTATATTTCACAATTTCTAGTTCCTCATTAATTTTTATTGAACCAAACTATTTATCTATGAAAATAAAATTTTACTGGCTAATGAGGCAGGAAGTATTAATGGGAGAGGTTGAGAGTTGTGGAGGTTAATGGGTCTTATGGTCATGAAGCAGCCCCTTTATCTGGGCTTCTCTGGCAATAACACAAAATTTATCAATTGAATTGATGTCTTTTTGACAATTTCTGAGTGAAGTGCTGCAGATCCTTTTCATATTCTTGCTAAAATAAAGCCACTAGCCTGTCTGAAATTAAATCAAAATTTTGAGCAAGAAAGATGATATTTTAAGAGGGATAAGCCATAAAGTAGAAATGCATTTATTAAATTTAGGAGCAAGACTAGTACAGAGTTATCAAATTGTAGTTCATGGTATCAGCATATTTTAAAAATAACCATGCAGAAATGATCATCTTTCTAATGAGGGTACACTTCTGCTATAGCATAAATTGAAATATAGGCATATTCTTAAGTAGATTTAAGAAATCATATACTAGATATGTTTTAAGGGTTTTTTTAAAAAATATGTGAGGCAAATGGCCATTAAGGAGGGTGACCTGATATGTTTAGTTGTAACCCCTTTTTTTGGTTTCTGATACCTCCCCACCTTTCAAAAAGTTAAAATTATTTGCTATCTTTATGATAATTTTTGTTACACCATTAGAATATTTTTTTAGAGATCTCTTCTACGTGTATTAGCCACAACTATTAGGGGTAAATTTATTTTAAGATCCAGATGAAATTGGTATTCTCATTGGTTATTGCTATATAATAGTATTTTTCCACCTTGTATTCTTTGGGAATTTCTGCAGGATGTTAATTGATGTTAATTTTAAAAAAGGGTTCTTTGGACAAATAGACTGGGAAATGATGAGACAGAATGGGAGTTCATTCAATAAACTGATTTCCCCAGACTCCCAGCTCTTTTTTTGTTCTGGTGGCACATCTTGGTATATTAGTTATTTCTTGTAAAACATTTTGGGAGAAGTTACTTGTATAATCTTTTTTTGTCTGTGGAATTGATTAATGTAAGAACCCGTTAGAACTATAGATACTGTGCAGAAAAAAAACCTGATTATTAAAAAACAGCTAGATTAGGACTATTAAAAATTAAATCACAGTGAGAAAGCTTAGAATAATATTTATTGTAGATGGAAAGTAAGCATTGAATTCATGCCAAAGCAGTTGAGACATTTTGGCTGATTTCTACTTGAGAATTTTCAAATTTGATTTCTTCATACAGTTTTCACCAGTAGTTTGAATCTATGTGGTTTTTCCCTACCCCCTTTTATACTGTTCTAGTTTAGAGTCATCTTGATAGGGAGCTGTTCTGAATTTGGGTGGCTGCCAAGATAATAGCCTAAATGTGAAAAGATATTTTCTTGGAGCTTTAAGGATGTTCCTTTTCTTTCAGTGGTTATTTAGTAAAAAAAAATTTTGAATAAAAGGGTGGATAGAATGATACATACTTGTGATTAAGCTAATTCATATCATGGACCATGTGTGTTTTATGTAGAGAAAAAAGATACCTTTGCATCTTTGATGTACATTTTGGTACATGTAAATAGACCTTATGATATATATTTTACTTATTTTTAAGTTAGAGTATTTTATAGATTGTTCTTGTTAACAATACATTCATGTATTTTAACTTTTATAGCTGAAACAGGATTAGATCTGCCATTCTGAAGTCTGATTTGGGGAAAGAACCTGAAAGTTTAAATCTAATGATAAGTTTTTGCATTTTTAGGCGCTTGATGAACCTCCCTATTTGACAGTGGGCACCGATGTGAGTGCTAAGTACAGAGGAGCCTTTTGTGAAGCCAAGATCAAGACAGCAAAAAGACTCGTCAAAGTCAAGGTACAGTGTGTGTGGATGCTATAAATTCTATATTTAGTGTTCGATGTCTGAACTTTCATTTGGTGAATGTATTAATTTTTTCTTCTGCAAGTTGAGTTTAGTTTCTAAGAGTAAAGAGTGTAAGAATAACTGAAAACAAAGCATTATTTGTGATTCTTAAGTGTTCTAACTAGAATGAAATTAGATGATCATAATTGGTATTTTGAATGCCATTTCACTACAGACATGGTATTGTTTGTATTGTTAGCCTTTTAAAACTGGAAAGGACCTTAGAAGTCATGTAGTTTAATTTCTTAATTTTATCCTAAGGAAAATGAGGCTCAATAAAGGGTCAGTGATTTGTCCAGGGCCATTCTGGAAAATTAGTGACAGGATGGGTATTAGAATAGTACATCAGTTTTAAGAGCCTTCCCCATTTTAACCATGAAATTGAGATGTGGTTTATAACTGATGATGGTGGATCTAGTTGTTGATTCCTTATCTTCTACTTTTCTTGAAAAAATCTTGCTAATTTATTGAGTTGCAAACTGTGCAGGTGGGAAGGAAGATGGGGATATGAGAATAACCTCATCTCTTTTCAAGATATTTATAATGTAGGTTAGCAGATAGCCCATAAAATATTGTTTTGAACGTCACCAGTAAAACAGCCATAGAGGTGTTATACTTGAACTATCAGAGCTTCTTCCATGCTTGTATGCCTTGGTTCTTTCCTTACGCATGGCTGTGTTGAAAAAAGCTTCGGGGGTGATTCTAATTTACACTGCTAGTTAAGAACTGTTGTGAGAGGGCCTTTAAATTAACTGTAAGCCTGTAGGATGTCGATTTTGTCTCCCTCCCCACCTTCAGGTTTCACAGGCTTGGTGTACCTAAGCTCCTGTCGTGGGTTTTCCTGTTCTAACTTCACACGCTGGCGTTCTCTGAGCACTCATTTTTTGCCATTACTATCTTGTAAATGAAGAGAAGGTTTTTTTTTTTAATCAGTTTCTCACTCTTTCAGACAGAGCTACTGAGAGCACATGTAATACCTTAGTGTGAATTAGACTGGAATCTCTCCCTTTGGAGAGAGGTGGACCTTCTCCTCAGCAGTACTTGGCCTCCAGATAAGCACCTTCTAACCTGTGCTGGTTAGAAAAGGTGTTCCTTTGGGCAGGAGCCATGTGTTACTGCAGGAACCATGCTTCTGGCATTGAGCTGTGATTTGTACTGTCACCTGGGTGTCTCTGTGTAATATATGAACCTGCAAAATGACACACAGTGGTTCTGCCCTTTCTTGCTGTCGGTGGAAGGAGGAAAGCGGTCTGTGCTGCTTGTGCTGACAGCAGAGTCCCGGCCGGCACCTTGTGTCTTACAAGTAGTGGCTGTCTAAAATTTGTTCTTAGTTCTTTAGACTGCTCTAAAAATCTGTTTATAAGTCAAAGCTAATGCTTTTCTCAGCAGATACTGTAGTATATTTCTGTATCAGTTTGTTTATGATTCAGAGTTAATACATTTTCAACAATTTGTTGATACACTTCTTCCCCATCAGTTTTTATTTATTGAACATTTATTACATGCTAAGCATTGTATCAGGTATTGAAACTCTAGTACTAAGACCTTATCTCCATTCTTAAGTGGTTTACTGTCTAAGTGAATGATACAGATGTGTAAACACGTAATTTAAATAAAGTGTAGTAGTGCCATTGTGTGAGACAGAAATGTATGGTATGCTGTGAGTACAGGACAGCTCCTTTCATAGCTGGTTTGTGAGCCTGTTTTGTAATTGATTACCACACACGTCGGATAAGACCACATTAATGGTTCAGTCCTTGGAAGCTCTTGCTTTATATAGGGAAAACCACCTTTTTTATACTGAGTACTGGAAGCTATTTTGTTTTTACTAATTAAATATTTAAACTTGATCCCTTTATTTTAACTTAACTTTATTTTAACATCTAGTGTCCCATTCTCTGATGTCTGTACTGACAGAATACAATACAGTAAAGTTCTGCATCCGGATGGCCTGAGTTTGAATCTCAGCTCTACCATGTACTAGTTCTATGATCTTGGACCAGTTGCTTACACTTTGTGTTCCTCTGTTTTCTTACCAACAAAATGGGAATAATCACACCTACCTAATAAAGTTTTTGTGAAGATAATAGGTTCAAAGCTTGAGCTTGATGCTTGACTCTTAGCAAATGTTTGTTGCTACTGCTTGTGAACCAAGGGCTTCACAAAATGGTAGAATACCTAATAAACTAAGATCACCACCTCCTTTTTTCTCATTTTTTAGGAAAACAAAATATATAATTAAACTCATAACTAATAGTACTGAATAAACTATAATAAGTGAATCATCAAGTAAATTAGTCTGGGAGTTGTCTGTTAAATAGTAAGTTTTTCAGTTAATCTACTTAGGGATTGAGATTTTGTATAAACTAGGCAGTCATTTGTTTAGATCACTTGTTGAAAGAATTCATGCATTAATGAGCTTTTGTTGCTTTTTTTTCTTTTTTGGTGGCTAATTAAATTTTTAATCTCTAGGTAACATTTAGACATGATTCTTCAACAGTGGAAGTTCAGGATGACCACATAAAGGGCCCACTAAAGGTAAGTCATTTATTCATAATTTATTCATAATTACTGTTTCCCACTGAAGCACTAGAAGTAATAATCTTGATCTTTTAAAAAATTCATTGGTTACTTTGCTATTCAGTTGATAAATATGTAATTCTCTCTAAGTAGGAAAAAAGTAGACTTAATGTGGCATAAAACCTTTGTGACAGTAAAACTTGTGTTCAGAGGTGAAATGAACATCAAGGAAAGATTGATTGCTTTTTATTCACTCATCTGTTTTAGTCTCACCATGTTTCACTTATTAAAAGGGTGGAGTTTCCAGAAATAGAAAGTGGTAAACTAGGGATTGAGTGATATGAGTTTCATGATGATGTGAAAAGTGAGAAAACAAAACATAATAAAACAAATCTTCAGAGCTTTCAATTCTTTGAAGGAACTACTGGCCTATGAAATTTTTTAAGGATCATTAGGCAGTTATAAGTGATAAACATGTTCATACATACACATAGAGAGTTTAATTTCTTTGCATTAGTTTTTCTTCATTGGCCAGCTATGAATTAAGTGCTGCTTTACTTTCCACTAATGAGCAGGCTTAAAGGAAATATGTGGGTAGCCACTATGTGCTGTTTGGCCGTTTTGAATGTCTGAAATGGACATTGGCCTAGCTGGGCAAATTTTAAGAAATGCTAACATAAGTGAAAAACATTTGTAGATGCAAGAAAAATCCTTTCCTAATGAAACAGTACTTTTCAGAGAATTTGCTAGATGTCTATATCTGCCAATTTTTGTTGGTGGTTGATGTGAAAACTTTTAATTGAATCCCCAGGGCGTTAGTACCTTGCATATATAGTAGGCACTGTGGAAGACTAAGGGCTTCCCAAACAGCACCAGTGGTAAAGAACCCACCTGCCAATGCAAGAGATGTGGGTTTGATCCATGCGTTGGGAAGATCCCCTGGAGTAGGAAATAGCAACCCACTCCAGTATTCTTGCCTGGAAAATTCCATGGACAGAGGAGCCTGGTGGATTACAGTCCATGGGGTCACAAAGTCAGACATGACTGAGCATATCTGCACATGGAAGACTAAAACTTGTAAGTTTTTTAATATTGCCTTGTGAAAATTATTTTTCACTTTTTCTGTTTTATAGGTGCCCTCTTTAATGTTATATGCACATGTGTATCACTTGTAGGGTTAAAAGGACAAAGACATACACATGTATAATTTGATGTTGGGTTTCCCTGGTGGTTTAGATGGTAAAGAATCTCTGCGTAGTCTGGAGACTCGGTTCGATCCCTGGGTTAGAAAGATCCCCTGGAGAAGGAAATTGCAACCCACACCAGTATTCTTGCCTGGAGAATTCCATGGACAGAGGAGCCTGGTGGGCTACAGTTCGTGGGGTCACAAAGAGTCAGACGTAACTGAGGGACTGACACACACACAGTTGGATGTTAACTGCCATTCATTTACATTTAGTATGTGTCAGTACTGTGCTGATTCCTCTGCTCATATTATCTTATATAGTCCTCATAACAACTCTTAGAGATGAGGAAGTTGGAGGGAGATGGGAGGTAACGTAATCTGGCCCAAGGTCTTACAGCCAGTAATGAGATGGCAAAAATAAAAATTCTCATGGACTTATAGCCTGTAGTTTTGAAGCATTCTGCCCACTGGATGATCAGAACACACGCATCTCTATGCCTTATTTGTATTTTTGCCTTATGAGCACACCAGTTAGCTCTTCACTACCTGACTACTTTATTCACCTGGCACATGCTAGCTGGTACCAGTTACAAAAAACGCTCAGTGTTGTGGGGATAAGAGAGACAATTTGAATCCTCAAGTCATCTTTCCTTTTGGTTCAGCCTGTTTGACTGTGGCATAGTTGGTTTAATTTGCTTGTTTGATTTGTCTTCTTAAAACTTTCTTTGTTTTTGATTAGGCTTGGGATCATTTTGATTTTGATATAGGCAAGTGTATTAAATTACAGTCTTGAAATTGTTGAAATATTTCTCTTGCTTATGGATTTTTTTTTTGTATGAAGATTTTCAGTTGTTTCCTAATATACTTTGTAGCTTTCTATCAGCTGATAGAGAGGATTAGCATTTGGATAAATGTTTCTCCTAGAGAAAATAAACTTCCTATAGTGGTGGTGATTTGATTTCAGTATATTTTCAGTGAGTTGACATGAAAATAATACTGGAACATTTGAGTATTCTATTTTAAAAAATGCACCGTGTATTTATTGACGGTAGTCTCTGGTGGTCCAGTGGTTGGGACTGTGCACTTGTACTGCAGGGGGCTTGCGCTTCTCTGGTTTGGAACTAGAAGAGAGAGAGAGCGTTTCCTTCCCTTTTTTGGGCATCGTGTGGGGCTGACACTCTAAACAAATTTAGTTTTGTTATCACTGTTTTGTTATCACTGTAAAGATCATAGACATTTTCTTTTAACTGAGATAAAACTAATATTATTACTAGTTTCAGTATGCAGCATAATGGTTCAATATTTGTGGATCACCACATAAGTCTAGTTAACATTTGTCAACATACATGGTTGTAAACGGGCTTCCCAGGTGGCACAAGTGGTAAAGAACCTGCCTGCCAATGCAGGAAATGAAAGAGACATGGGTTCGATCCCTGGGTCGAGAAGATCCCCTGGAGGGGGCATGGCAACCCACTCCAGAGTTCTTGCCTGGAGAATTCCATGGACAGAGGAGCCTGGAGGTCTACAGTCCATAGGGTCACAAAGAGTTGGACATGACTGAAGCAACTTAGCACACACGGTTGTAAAAAATTTTTTTTCTTGCAGTGAGGGCTTTTAAGACTTAGCCTCTATTTTCGATCTTATTCTGTGTATCTTATAAAGTTGGCTTTCAGTTTTGTGTTTTAGACTTCACATATAAGTGATATCATATGGTTATTGGCTTTTTCTTATGACTAATTTCACGTGGCATAATGCCTTCAATGTCTGCCCATGTTGTTGCAGATGACAAGATTTCAAATTTTTTTTTTGGTAGTTTTATTTTATTTATTTGTTTTATTTTTTATTTTTCCATTTATTTTTATTAGTTGGAGGCTAATTACTTTACAATATTGTAGTGGCTTTTGTCATACATTGACATGAATCAGCCATGGATTTACATGTGTTCCCCATCCCGATCCCCCCTCCCGCCTCCCTGTTTTCATTCTTTTTAATGGCTGATTTATGTGAGCGTGTGTGCGCACATGCACACATCTTTATCTATCATCCATTGATGGATACTTAGTTTCTTTTCGTATCTTTGCCATTGTAAATAATGCTTCAGTGAACTTGGGGGTGCATATATCCTTTCAAATTAGTGTTTTCATTTCCTTCAGATAAATGTCCACAAGTGAAATTACTGGGTCATGTGATAGTTCTCTGTTTAATCTTTTTGAATCCCTCCATTCTGTTTTCCATAGTGCTGTACCAGTTTACGTTCCTACCAGTATTGCACAGAGGTTTCCTTCTCCACATCCTGGTCAGCACTTTTATTTCTTGTCTTTTGATGATAATAAGCCATTCTCAGTAGGTGTCAGGAGATACCTAATTGTGGGTTTGATTTGCATTTCTCTGTTGATTAGTGATAGTGAGCATATTTCCATGTACCTGTTTGCTGTCTGTATGTCTTCTTTGGAAACATGTCTATTCAGGTCTTCTGCTCATTTTATAAATGGAGCTTTTTGCTTTTTTTGATATTAATTTTGTGAGCTGTTTATATATTTTAGATTTTAACCCCTTGTCATTTGCATCATTTGCACATAGTTTCTCCCATTCAGTAGATTCTATTTTTGTTTTGTCAATGATTTCCTTTACTGTGCAAAAGATTTAAGTTTAATTAGGTCTCATTTATTTATTTTTGCTTTTGTTTCCTTTGCCTTAGAAGACAGATACAAAAAAAATACTGCTATAATTTATGTCCAAGAGTGTTCTGCTTATGTTTTCTTCTAGCAGTTTTATGGTTTCCAGTTTTACATGCAAGATTTTAATCCATTTTGACTTTATTTTTGTGTATGGAATGAGAACCTTTGCTGACTTTTCAATTGGATTGTTTGATGATTCTTCTCTTTTTCTGTTGCATTGTATGAATTCTTTATGTATTTTGGTTTTTAACCCCTTATCAGATAATGTGATTTGCAAATGTATTTTCTCCCATTCTGTAGGTTGCCTTTTCAAATTGTTGACAATTTCTTTTGCTGTGTAGAAGTGTTTTAGTATGTGTGTATACACACACACACACACACACACACACACACACACACACTTATAAAGACCATATACATTTATAAACCATATAAACTATCAGCATTTTCTTGATCAGGTGAAAATATTTCAAATGATTTTCATTATTGGCACATTATAACTTAAGGAGAACCTCAGAATTATTTGTTAATTTCTCCCCAGCATCCTTTAAAGAAGAGTTGTAATATGAGGCAAAGATATGCAGTTTCACAGACAGGGATCCCCAGACCGGTGAGAGTTCCCTCAGAGAGGTTGTAAGGACAAAACTATATATTTTCGTAACAGTACTTAGATATTACTTGCTTTGTTCATTATGTTGATATTCTCACTGATGATACAGAAGCAGTCGTGAGTAAAGTTGCTGCCCCTTTAAGACAAAGCGGTAGTTACTTTGTTCTTCACCATCATGAAATCAGTTTGTCAAAAGACAGCCAGGTTTTAGTTCGTTCATTTCTCTTCTAAAAGTTTTTCTTTTTTTTTTTTTAATACTTTAGGTTGGGGCTATTGTGGAAGTGAAGAATCTTGATGGTGCATATCAGGAAGCTGTAATCAATAAGTTAACAGATGCTAGCTGGTACACTGTAGGTAAGGGAATACATATTCTTCTTAAAATGTATTTTCAATGATGATACAAATAAGGCAGAGTTTTTTCTTGATTTACTTCCTCTCTTAGTTGCCATAGTTGTTACTACTATTAATAGTTTTTATCTTTCCAGATCTTTAAAAACTTTATTTCATAAATATGTACATAATGTATAATTTTAACTTAGTGTATATATTATACAATGGATTTCTAGCTTTTCACTTCAAAGTGTATTTTAGAGTATTTTCTTTCATCTTAACCATTTTTAAGTGTGCATTTCAGTAGCATTCAGTAAATTCATGTTGTCATGCAACAGATAAATTTTTTAAACTAATATTCTTGCTGATGATGTTGCCAGTTTTCTTGGTGTTACATAGTAAATTACTATATTATGGATTGAATGTTTTTTGTATATGGACATGATTGTAGTATTTCGCTAGTGTGCTCATTGAGAACTAGGCGTAGATTGAAGGGAAATGTCCTTTTAAAACTTTAGTAGGTTATGAAAACCACTTTCCTAAAAGAATGTTAATTTACACTCCCATAAACAGTAGTGTATGAATGTACTTGTTTTCCCAACCCTTGTCAAATTTGATGTTACTAGTATTTTTAAATTTGTACCCATCTGGACGCAAAATAGTATCTCAATTTTGTTTTAATTCGCTTCTCCCATGATTAGTAGTGAGATTGGCCATATTTTCATATATTTATTGAAAGGAACATTATTTCTGTTATATTTTCTCTCTTCAATTGCCAACATATAGTGTCTTCCCAATCCTATCTTTTCCTCTTGGAAATGTTATCATCTTATTTTTAGGATATGAGTTGATATATTTAAATAGAAAAAAGGATTGTTAAACCTTTTCCTCTTCAGTTGCAAGTACTCTTCTATTGCTTTACTCTTACCTCTGCTGTCAGTTTTCATATGATAGTTCTCCTGTGGTTGCCTTTTCCTTTGTAATTTTAGTTTGAATGTTGTTTAAGAAGGCTTTACTGCTTCATCTGGTCCAAAATGTTAATAGTGCTGAGATTGAGATTAGAGTAATTTATAGGGGCAGTCTGAATATATAAATTTATATTCTTTTTTGTTTCTTAAATTTGTCATCATTTACCAATAGAAAAGCTTGCTTTTTCTCTACCCTATTGAGAAGGATTAATCAGCATTTAAAAGGTTTCTTTCTGAAATGCTAACTTCTTTTCATTTGGTGTTTTCTGTACCAGGGAAGATGTTTTCATTATATTATTTTTTCCCTAGAAATTGGATAAGATACTCTGCATTTGAAGTTGTTTGTTACAAAACTTAAAATGTATACTTAATGTCAGATCTAATCTTTTAAAGCAGTAGCTCTCTTTGCACTGATAAAGTTAAATGATAACTTATGTCATTTTGTTAATCTTTGAAAATCCCTTCAGTAGTTTCCTTTTCTGCCTCTTCTCGCAGTTTTTGATGATGGTGATGAGAAAACATTGAGACGATCCTCACTGTGCCTAAAAGGAGAGAGGCATTTTGCAGAGAGTGAAGTAAGTAATCACTTAATGAACAAACATGTCGGAGTATTTTGTATTGGGGGTGGCAAAGTTTTGCTTTCTTATTCAAGCAACTTACTTGTTCATCAGGAAAAATTCTTCACCATCATGAAATCAGTTTGTCAAAAGACAGCCAGGTTTTAGTTCGTTCATTTCTCTTCTAAAAGTTTTTCTTTTTTTTTTTTTAATACTTTAGGTTGGGGCTATTGTGGAAGTGAAGAATCTTGATGGTGCATATCAGGAAGCTGTAATCAATAAGTTAACAGATGCTAGCTGGTACACTGTAGGTAAGGGAATACATATTCTTCTTAAAATGTATTTTCAATGATGATACAAATAAGGCAGAGTTTTTTCTTGATTTACTTCCTCTCTTAGTTGCCATAGTTGTTACTACTATTAATAGTTTTTATCTTTCCAGATCTTTAAAAACTTTATTTCATAAATATGTACATAATGTATAATTTTAACTTAGTGTATATATTATACAATGGATTTCTAGCTTTTCACTTCAAAGTGTATTTTAGAGTATTTTCTTTCATCTTAACCATTTTTAAGTGTGCATTTCAGTAGCATTCAGTAAATTCATGTTGTCATGCAACAGATAAATTTTTTAAACTAATATTCTTGCTGATGATGTTGCCAGTTTTCTTGGTGTTACATAGTAAATTACTATATTATGGATTGAATGTTTTTTGTATATGGACATGATTGTAGTATTTCGCTAGTGTGCTCATTGAGAACTAGGCGTAGATTGAAGGGAAATGTCCTTTTAAAACTTTAGTAGGTTATGAAAACCACTTTCCTAAAAGAATGTTAATTTACACTCCCATAAACAGTAGTGTATGAATGTACTTGTTTTCCCAACCCTTGTCAAATTTGATGTTACTAGTATTTTTAAATTTGTACCCATCTGGACGCAAAATAGTATCTCAATTTTGTTTTAATTCGCTTCTCCCATGATTAGTAGTGAGATTGGCCATATTTTCATATATTTATTGAAAGGAACATTATTTCTGTTATATTTTCTCTCTTCAATTGCCAACATATAGTGTCTTCCCAATCCTATCTTTTCCTCTTGGAAATGTTATCATCTTATTTTTAGGATATGAGTTGATATATTTAAATAAAAAAAGGGATTGTTAAACCTTTTCCTCTTCAGTTGCAAGTACTCTTCTATTGCTTTACTCTTACCTCTGCTGTCAGTTTTCATATGATAGTTCTCCTGTGGTTGCCTTTTCCTTTGTAATTTTAGTTTGAATGTTGTTTAAGAAGGCTTTACTGCTTCATCTGGTCCAAAATGTTAATAGTGCTGAGATTGAGATTAGAGTAATTTATAGGGGCAGTCTGAATATATAAATTTATATTCTTTTTTGTTTCTTAAATTTGTCATCATTTACCAATAGAAAAGCTTGCTTTTTCTCTACCCTATTGAGAAGGATTAATCAGCATTTAAAAGGTTTCTTTCTGAAATGCTAACTTCTTTTCATTTGGTGTTTTCTGTACCAGGGAAGATGTTTTCATTATATTATTTTTTCCCTAGAAATTGGATAAGATACTCTGCATTTGAAGTTGTTTGTTACAAAACTTAAAATGTATACTTAATGTCAGATCTAATCTTTTAAAGCAGTAGCTCTCTTTGCACTGATAAAGTTAAATGATAACTTATGTCATTTTGTTAATCTTTGAAAATCCCTTCAGTAGTTTCCTTTTCTGCCTCTTCTCGCAGTTTTTGATGATGGTGATGAGAAAACATTGAGACGATCCTCACTGTGCCTAAAAGGAGAGAGGCATTTTGCAGAGAGTGAAGTAAGTAATCACTTAATGAACAAACATGTCGGAGTATTTTGTATTGGGGGTGGCAAAGTTTTGCTTTCTTATTCAAGCAACTTACTTGTTCATCAGGAAAATTTATTAATACATAAAAGTGTTAGCATATAGTCTGAGAAAACTTTAAGGCCTTGTGTTTGAGTTCCATATGCCTTTTTTTTTAATGTATTTTAGCAATTAGCGTTTGTCCATGAAGAAAATACAGTGGAATTGTTTATTATCCTTAGGCAACTTTCATATAGAGTCCTTTAATTTATAAATAATTATAGAATAGAGATTCCTCATTTGTAACCTACTTGAACCCCCATCATTGTTAAAGGGACCTCCTAACTAACCTTAACTACTGCAAACACCTCCTAACTACTGCTGCTGCCAGCAGCTGACATTTATTATAGCCTCTCTTTGGAGAAGGCTTGCCTGACTGCTCTTTCCAAAACGGACACTTCCATTCTTCATAATCTTTTCAGGTTAATTTAATTTTCTTTATAGCACATACCTTGCTCACCACTGTGTTTATGTGCTTATTTATTGTCTGCCTTCCTCACTACAGTGTGTGTGTCTCAGTGGCAGAGGCTGTGTGTGTCTTCTGCACCATTTTGTTCCCAGTTCCTGCAACAGTGCCCGGCACAGAGCAGGAGCTGAATGAATGTTGTCTGGATGAATAACTGAAGTGCTTGTATCTGCAGGGACTTTGCTTAGTGCTTTACATACATCCTCACATGTACAGCATTATGAGAGAGATACAGTTCTTATTTTTAGCTTACACTTGATGAAATTGATGGTCAGAACCATTTCTCAAACCAACACTTCCTAGTACCAAAATCATGCTCTAAAATTGAAAGATGTTTAATAAATGTGGAGGCTTCACAAAGTTTTGAAAATCAATAACTTGCAATTCAAAATTTTTTTAATGGACATATAGTTACAAATAGTGTTATATTCTATAACACTATAAATATTAGTTAATACACAGTGTGACCAAACCAAGATTTATTTTCTCTAATAACTATTTAGAATGATGTTATCATGGGGAATTTTAATATTTCTGTTAAATTATTAGACTTTTTTTGTTGTTGTTGTTATTTTTCCTCTCACTTAAATGATTGACTTCCCATTTCAATTCCGAATTTGGGACAGATTCTCTGTGTAATAATTCTGGCCTATCTTTTCAGTCTCATGCTTTATTATTGCCCTGTATTTCTCATTTGTAAGACTTTCAGATTATGGTTCATACTTCCTTTTCTTGGTTTCTTCTGAGCCCTGTTCCTCTCAAGACCATGAGAAATGCTTCCTCCTTCATGATGTCTTTCATGAGCTCTCTAACCAATTTTGATCTCAGTATTCTTTGATCCTTTTCCACTTCTCTTACTTTTTTTTATGGTATTTTTTTTTTGGTTACTTTTATCATTTTTCTCTTTAAAATTGTAAGCTGTTTTGGCGGAATAGCCAAATTTTTGTCGTCTTGATGAATTCTTCTTTTCCTAGTAGTGTTTTCTACACAAAAGCCTCAGTAACCATTTGGTGAATTAATTGTGAAGGTTTAAAGCTAGGAAATACATATAACTTTGGGACAAGTACAGTGAATTTGGCTTCTTTGACTGATGACATTAACAGAATTCTGAGTTTATGGAGTTCTTAGAAATAATTTCATTTTCCTTAGAATATGTGATAATTATAGTCTATGGCCATACCACCCTGAATGTGTCTGATCTCGGAAGCTAAGCAGGGTCTGGCCTGGTTAGTACTTGGATGGGAATACCGGGTGCTGTAGGCTTTTATGAGTGAGTAAACTCTGGGAGTTGGTGACGGACAGGGAGGCCTGACGTGCTGCGATTCATGAGGTCGCAAAGAGTTGGACACGACTGAGCGACTGAACTGAACTGAATGATTATGAGAACTTGAACACTCGATTTTTCACCTAAGTGAAGGTATATGTCTTATTTACTCATTCCAGTGAAGTATCTTAAGGAACTAATTTTGTCTTTGCCAGGAGAATTTTAAATTGGGATAATTTTTAAGATAGTTGTGGTATGAAAGCTGAAGCAGTGATATCTAATAGCTCAGTGTATCCACCTCAATTTCAGGAGGCATCAGTTTTACTCTGTGTTTCTCAACATGTTAAATTTCATGTTTTGCTAGAGGATATTAGAATACTGGTATATTATTCCTTACCCATTGCCATTTGCAGGTGCTATGCTAGGTACATGGGTAAGTTAGGTAGACATGGAATTTATCCTTGGCATCTGTTGGAGTGGGTATTTCTGTAGAGCACTCATAATTGGAATAATATTCCAAAGTAGTTTTATCAACTGGCATTCTCTTTGTGCATTTACTACATGCAATTGAAAACGCTGAAGAACGTTTAGATGAAATCCTAGCTCCATATTTCCTGCAGCCCATTTTAGATAACAGGGCTATCAGCGTGTTTCCCCTACGCCTGTGGAATTTTCTTCAGCATTTAATATAGCCAGGAGTCTCTGGTTTTGCTCTTCAAGTATTTCTTGTAGTTGTTTAGTTGCTAAGTCATGTCTGAAGGCATGAGGAGAAGGGGACGACAGAGGATAAGATGGTTGGATGGCATCACCGACTTGATGGACATGAGCTTGAGCAAGCTCAGGGAGTTGGTGATGGACGGGGAAGCCTGGTCTGCTGCAGTCCATGGGGTCGCAAAGAGTCGGACACGAGTGAATGACTGAACTGAAGTCGTGTCTGACTCTTTTGCTACCCCATGGGCTGTAGCCTGCCAGGCTCCTCTGTCTATGGAATTTTCCAGCAAGAATACTGGAGTGGGTAGCCATTTCTGTCTCCAGTTCCTGACCTGGGATCAAACCCACGTCTCCTACACAGGCAGGCAGATTCTTTACTACTGAGCTACCAGGGAAGCCCTCTTAATTCTGACCGTCCTTTATTCTTTTGTGTGAAGTGAGATAAAAGGGCTCCTGCTTTCCAGGATTGAGGCCAGGGACACAGGTCTGCTTTTAACAATAAGACAATTGCTTCTTATTGTTCTAATTCTTTTTTAAATACTAGGGAGAGATTGTGGTTTATTTGGGTATTCCTATATGTGATTCCTAGATAACTTTTCAGAAATTCTGGATATTTTCCTTCTTAAACCAAGTAAAATAACTAGCCGATACTTAAAATAGAAATAAAATAGAAAACCGATAGTTAAAGTTGCTTAGTGGTTTCCAACTTTTTGCAACCCCATGGACTATATTCCACAGTTACATATATTCCAGTTTGTGGAATTCTTCGGGCCAGAATACTGGAGTGGGTAGCCTTTACCTTCTCCAGGGGATCTTTGTCTACTTTTAAGAGAGTGGCCTTAATCTTAGGGGAAGGGCATTTAATTCTTTGTTAGCTTAGGAGAAACTGAGCCAAAATAATTTATTTTCCCTATTTACCAAATAGAGTGCTTTGAAATTTTCACACTTGGGAAGCATAATTAGGAGTTAATGACAGGTTACTTCTGAAGAGATTTTGTCTGGCATATTATTGTATTTGGGCAAGTTTTTTTGTCTTCAAATATTTTTTTAAATGCCTGACTTACAAGCTACATATGAAAGATTTATATTTTTAGCCATATAAAAGTGACGATTTTTGTCTATCATTTCAAGGAATTAGTTTTTATTTAATGCTTTGTGGCTAGTGCCTTTTTCCTATACTGTATTCTTCATTGTTGGACACGTGTGTGTGTGTGTGTGTGTGTGTGTATCCCTGGAGGAGGAAATGGCAACCCACTCCAATATTATTGCTTGGAGAATTCCATGGACAGAGGAGCCTGACAGGCTATAGTCCACAGGATCACAAAGAGTCGGACACAACTGAGCAATTAACCGTGTGTGTGTGTGTGTGTGTGTGTGTGTGTGTGTGTGTGTGTTGGTGTGTGTACCTTAAACATATTTACATATATTCTAACAAATTATGTAAAATGAATTAATATATGTCCTCCTTTCATGTTTTAGTTCACTGTTTCAACAAAATTATCAGTTTTAAGAATAAAAGTTCAAATTTTTCTTTTAAATATTGACATTAGTTTATATTTAAATATCTGATCTTTAAGGTAATGGACACCCTTCCATATAACATTCTTATTTGTAACTTTGAGACTTTTTATCATAACTAGTTCCTTGCCCTCACTTCCACTGTGACAGTTTTCCTGGGATCTTTTATTCCCCTTGTGTTCATAAAAGTATCTGAAATAGCAAAGATTCTATTGGAGGGATAAAAGGAACAGTAACTGTGGAAAATCTTTAAGATGCTGAAAAAGTTTGATTATTATCAAAACGATATTCAGAGAATTAAGTCAGTTGGGATAGCGTCTTCAGATTGATACTTTAACTTTTTAGATATATAAACCTTTTAAGGAATTAATGGCACAAAACAACCCAAGAAGTCTCTGATATGGGGAAACGAAGGAATTTCAAAATCCCTTTTTTTTCCTTTTGTTTTTACCCACCACCCGTTTCTTTCCTTGGAATTCGTTTTTTTTTTTTGAGCAGGGTGAGAGACATGAATTGCCAGTTGATAACAAGAAGGAAGTGTTCACTTATTGATTATTGTCTTCATAGCAAGAATTGAAGGTTGCTATATTAAAAAGAAAGGGAAAATAAAAATACTAACTTTAGAAAAACTAATGTTTACATTTTCTTTAAAAGTAGGATTTATTGTAGGGAATTCCCTGCAGGGAGTCCCAGTGATCAGGACTTTGTGTTTTCACTGCCAGGGCCTGGGTTTGATCCCTGATTGGGGAAATAAGATCCTGCCAAGTGCACAGGGGTCGGGGTGTAGGTGGGGGGGGGTTTACAGAAAATGTTTGCAGAGTCATAATGTCACCTATCTGAAGCCCTTTTTTCAGGTAATTGATGCTTATCCTGATAATTTAGTTTCCATTGCTTACCAAGAATTCTGTTTTATAGATTATGATTCCCTAAATGCAAAGAAAAATTTGAGATACAGTTGACCTCAATCTAGGGATTAGGTACTTACACATAGATTTCTCATCTCTCAAATCTGTGTTTCCACTGAGCTGTATTTGTTTTGTTTTATATTTTAATCACTCTCAGAAGTCTGTCAACCCTCAAGTAGATAATGAAATTATCTACAGAGAACACTAAATTTCTTTTCACTTTTTTCCAGTTATGAGCTCATTCATCTTTTAATAATTCTTTGAAGTAAAAGTTTTTAATCTTTAGGAAAGTTGTATTTTTGTCTCCCTTGGGAAGTTTTAAATCTAAAAATCTAAGGATATTCTTAAATTGATTTGATTTAAACAGTAAAAAAAAAGAACTTGCAACTTAATAACTTTTGATAATGTTCCTACCCACAGACATTAGACCAGCTCCCACTCACCAACCCTGAACATTTTGGCACTCCCGTCATAGGAAAGAAAACAAATAGAGGAAGAAGATCTAATCATATGTAAGTCCATTTTCATAATTGTTAGTTGAACCTGAATTCATTTCTCCTTCTAGTGTTGTTTTATAGTTGTTAATTTTAAACTGTAATTTTAAATTTAAATGCTAACTGAATCTTAAGAGTAACTTCAGACTCTCCTTGGCATGGGTGCTTGAGGATCTTCTTGCTCAGCCAGCCTTAACATCTATATTATTTATCTGCCTTCTAGTTCTCCTGACATGTATCTTATGCCAGAGTCAAAATGGATTTAGTCAATATTTCCTGCGTATCCTGAGTAATACATCCTCTGTTTTCCTGATACCATGTTTTTTATTCATGCTGTGTTTTCCCTGTCTTAAATGCCACTGGCGCATTCATTCCTCAGTTCTCAGCCAGACATGCCCAACCTTTCTGTGAACCATTCTATGCCTCCCCTCTCTTTCCTTGGGCTTCGCTGGTGGCCAGCTGGTAAGAGTTCACCTTCAGTGCGGGAGGCCTGGGTTCCATCCGTGGGTTGACAGACATGTTTTCTTCTCTGCTGAATCCTCTAAATTCTTTGCATTTATCTAATGTCATAGACAATATTTCACCTATTACTATCATTGTCATGTTTGCTTTTCCTTCCTAATAATTTAAATCCTCCTGACAGCAGAACTATCTTACTTGTTTTTATGTCTTCTTACTGTTGTGACACATACTGTACATATTTAACAAATTACTTTCAATGAAATATGCTTAGGTTCTTAAAGGCTTTAAATTAAAAGGGATCACAGGATCAAGGAGTCATGAAACTTTAGGTCATCAGAGATAAAGAAACAACCTTCTAACAATTCCAGAAAGAAAAAGTAGTTTATTGCTAAGGACTGAGAGGCAGAATGGCAGGCATCAGACTTCTCAGTAGTAACATTAGATGCTAGTGGTCAGTAGGCTGCAGAGTGGAGAAAGGAAAAGTGCTGTTAAAGGGAGGACTTGCTCTCTCCTATGATGGAACATTAGGGGGAAATTAAAGATAACAATGGTAACAGATGGGAAAAAATAACAAAGGCATTTAGTTACTCCTCTCAAAAATTATATTAGGAAGAAACACTGCATTAGTAGGATGGAGGATAGAGAAGTCGCTTAAATACAAAAGTCAAGTCCTTACAACAATGGGAAATAGAATAGTGTCTTAAAAGTATAAATATAGTGGTATAAGAATATTACTTAGTGATGAGGTTTTAACTGTCAGAGCTGAAAGAGTTAAAATTAAAAGCAGTTGTCTCAGCAGAAGAAAATGGGAAAGGATGCAGCAGGAAAAAGTTTTTAATTTATTCTGTTGGAGGTTAAATTGTTTAAAAACAGTTTTGAATATTTTACTTGGATAAAAATTTTAAAATATTAATGTGCCTGAGCTAAGTGTTATCAGAGTAGGTATGAAAAATACTGAGTTGAATTATTGTCTTTTAAATGGAAATGAATGCTTTCATTCAGAATATAGAGTCAGGTATTAAGTCTAATAGTGGCTAAGCTTTGGCAATAAAAATTGGGTAAACATGTTCTCTTATACAGCTTAGTTTCAGCCTGACAGCAAACTCATAAAGGTAGGTATTATTTTTATCCCTATTAAAGCTGGGAAAATTGGCCTCTGAGACAGTAACTAATCCAAGAAACACAGGAAGGAAAGGACCATGTTGCATAGTCCTTTTCCCATTCAGTTGATTGACTCTCTTGTTTAGAGCATCACAGTTAACTTTCCAAATGAATTTTAACAGGAAATGAATAAGGACTCATTTGAGGGAGGAAATGAAAAGACAAATCCTTGCATTGAAAAGATATTTAGTATTTATTATTTTGCTACTAATGATTTGGGCCATGCATTTCGTTTTCTTCCTTAGCTCTTTGAATCTTTTAGAAAATGTTTTCTCAATTAATAGGTGAAAATTTCTCTTACTTGTGATGTAGCTTGCTGGTGACTTGATTATTTTTAGGATACTGAGTTTGTGATTATTATTTACTCTTTGTGTAACATTTAAAATATGAGTATTCTACCTAGAGAGAAAAATAAGTAAAAAATGTACTATGACATTATCAGCTGAGAAGAGTCCTGTTGTGATTAATAAATGTTACTGTGATCTGATACTGTTTTCAGGTTTTTCAGAGGGCTATTATTTGCCCTAACATATTCACTGAAGCACTTATAAGTTAAATATTTTGATAGCCATTTGAAAATTAATAATTTCAATTGTGAATTAAAATTTTATCTATCATTGATCATTATAGTCTTCCCATGCTTTATAGTCAACTCTTAACTGTGATTGATGATGTTGAAGTAGTAAGGTGTGGATATATTTAATGTAAAATTACTTTATCAGCAAAGATTTTCCACTTTTCTAGCTCTTAAGAGTGGAAGTGTGGCTGAGTTGAGAGTGTGAACAGTGGAAACTTTATTGGTGGTCCAGTGGTTCAGACTGTACTTCCACTGAAGGGGGCAAGGGTTCAATGCCTGGTCAGGGGACTAAGATCCAGCATGTCTCGAGGTGTGGCCAAAAAAAAAAAAAGAGAGAGATCTTAAGTGGGAACAGTGAAGCACAATAGCATGGGTTTGAATCCTGCTTCTGCCACTTCCTTGCTGTCTGACTTTGGGCAGCATGCTCAGTCTTTGCATACCTTAATTTTCTCATCTGTAAAATTGAGGTAATAGTATTCCCTGTCTCTTTACGAGTTTAGTTTCAAAGAAAGAAAGTGAAGTTAGTCATGTCCAACTCTTTGCGACCCCATGACTATAGCCTGCCAGGCTCCTCCGTCCATGAGATTTTCCAGGCAGGAATACTGGAGTGGGTTGCCGTTTCCTTTCCCAGGGGATCTTCCCAACCCAGGGATGGAACCCAGGTCTCGCACACTACAGGCGGACTCTTTACTGTCTGAGCCACCGGGGAAGCCCACCGAGTTGTTTCAAAGGTGAAGTGAATTCACACCCTTAAAAGGTTGATATAGTAATTACTGTAATCACATAGGCGTCCCTAAGACTGCCCTGTAGCTCAGATGGTAAAGAGTCTGCCTGCAACACAGGAGACCCAAGTTTGATCCCTGGGTCGGAAGATCCCCTGGAGGAGGAAATGGCAACCCACCCCACTATTCTTGGCCTGGAGAATCCCATGAGAGGAGCCTGGCCGGCGACAGTCCATGGAGTCGTAAAGAGTCAGACACAACTAAGTGACTAACACACACATATGTACTAGATGTCATCATCATGTATTGAATGAAAAAACTTTCATGAAATAGCAGTATGTAACATGACTTCATTTACATATAAAATTTATTTTTAAGTATGTAAAAATTCTGCTTACTAGTATTTATGTCTGACAGGAAGGACTGTTTGGGGCTCTATTTTGTGAATTTAAAAACATCATTCCTTTGTTTTATATTATGTACATACTCTAGGGAAAAATGTTTTTGAATCAAGAATCCTTTTAATTTTGAAACAAATTTCATATAATATTTAGACAGTGTTTTACCTTTCTACGGATGTCATCCAGAAGTGTAAAAATATTTTAAAATAAGGTAATTTATGGACTATCACATAGATTGATGTAGAAAAATGACCAAAAAGGAATTCCCAAGGGCCAGATCCAGTTGGGAAACTTGAGATTCCACAAGCTGCGCAGTAGACACACACACACATACACACATATACACACACCCAACAGACCAAAAATTATAGTATATTAGAATATCTGTTATGATTTTTGGCTGAGGTCTCCCTTTCTTGTATATGAGAAGAAAGCATGCGTTTGTCACTGAGCAAATTGATTTTTGTTTTCTAAAGACTTTAGCAAACATTGAGTTAGTGATTTTCCTGTTGAGAATCTGTGTACAATGAAAGATTTGCTGTAAATATGTGAAGTGTGAAGGCAGAACAAAGGTCGAGAATTACTGCTGCAGGAAATGAAGTGCTGCCTGTCTGCCGTCTTACTTCACTTGCTGCTCCTTCCATCTCACCACTGTGGTCATTCTTAGTGCCTCCTTGGTGCTCTACTCATTGGCGTTTAAGCACCACTGGCAAGCACCACAGGTTAAAATGCCCAACTCCTTAAATTACACTTCCTTGAAGGTCTTTCTTCCCTTTCTTCAGAGTGACTTTCTGCAACAAAATCTGGGGCCTGCATTTTAAGGTCATTTATCTGACCTTCATTTCCTCTTCCATTACTCAATTTGAAAAGGTCTTCATTATGGTTCTCTGATTGCCATTTAAAATTTGTACAAAGATAAATAACGTTATCTTTCCCAGGACTCCCAGGACCCCATTGTTGCAGTGATATATCACTACCTTTGTTTTATTTTAAGAACTGTTAATCCGCATACCGGTTAATCGGCCTTTAGTTATTCCAAAATTGATTATTTTTTATACCTTCCTTTAATTATGTTATTTATAGTCTGCTTTTAATCCTAATATATTCAGATATATGTTTGAAAGATTATCACCCTGTAGCTTAATTTTTTAAAAGCAAGTTATTGATCCTTTTGATAATGTATAACGTGAGTGAATTTTCCCCTTATAATTTATATTGTATGCAGTTTTCTTTGATTCTACCTAAAGAATAGAATTCTGAAATTATAGAAATATTTGTGCTCCTCCAAAAGCTTTTTCCAGTAGCGTGGCCAGAGTGTATCTGTGAACTGTAGGGAAGCACTCAAGGCTGTTGCCCTTCAGAAGAAGAGTGGGGCACAGTAAGGCTCGTGAGGACACTCGGTAGTAGTAGTTGTGGGGAGTTTCTACCCAGTAACATTGCTGAGATTTACCCAGCAAACCAGTGATTTGTACCTGATATTTACTGGTCTGCAGATCGATCTTGAATAATGTTTTTATTGAGAGATAATTCACATATAAGGTTCACCCTTTTAAAGTATTCAGTTTTCAGTGTTTTTTAGTGCATTCACAAAAGTTTACAACCAGCACCACTACCTAAGTCCAAAAGTTCTTTTTATTATTCACTGCTTTATTTTGATATGAGAATTTGATTCTAGTTTCCTTCTTGATAAAAACTGGGAAAAAATCTTTCATTGGTTGAGTTCATACATGTTCGTATGATCTGTATATTTTAATCTCTTAAGAGGCTACACATTTTCAGTCTTCTTGATACTAATACAGATTTTGAATTTGCAGTACAAAATTTGAAGCTGAGTTAGTTGTTTGAAAGAGTAAGGATCACTGAAGTCCAAATTGCATTTTAAAAATTGAGCCTCTGAAATTTCTGGCTCAGTTTTCTGTTTGTACCTCATCATATGGTATTCTTTGGCACATGTCTAAGTTGCCAAATTCTTCCTTGATTTACAATTAATTTATAGTTAAGATCGGTGTGTGATCAGCTTTAAGTGACTAGCTGTTCGTTTGTTTGGTAAACATCCCATGTAATCAGCATTGTTCCCAGTGGCATCGTCACACGTTAATTCAGCAACACGAGTTATCTTGCTGTGGCTCTGTAAACACATACCTGGTACCGGAGAAGCAGCAGTGTCAGAGGGGAGTAAACAAGCAGATTCCCTGCTTATTCCATCTTTGCTCCCTTCAAATATTTCCGATGCTCATTTATTTTGTGTATCAGTTAATTGAGTACTCATCTTATATAAACAATTTCCTGGCTACATTCCACTACAAGGAAAAATTAAAGGATTCTTAGGTATAAAGGTATGGTTTAAACTGGTTGTATACATTATGTTGATTGTATACATTATGTAATTTCAGGAGAAACAGAAATCAGAAGTAACGCAGTAGAAAGAAATAAACCGGAGAAGGAAATGGCAACCCACTCCAGTATTCTTGCCTAGAAAACTCCATGGACAGAGGAGCCTGGCGGGCTGCAGTCCAAGGGGTTACATGACTGAGCATGTGTGCATGAGGGTGGAGGGAGACGGGTTTGTAGCAACAAAGTGGTAGAACTAAAAAAAAAAGAAATGAATAAACCTATCTAGTTCACTTACTTAGCAAATATTTATTGAGCATCTGTGTTGTGCCAGCTCTGTTCAAGTACAAGGCATATATCTGTGAACAAAACAAGCATTCATAAAGTCTCTGGGAGACTTCCCTTGTGGTCCAGTGGTTAAGGCTCCACACTTTTAATGCATTGGACATGGATTCCATCCCTGGTCAGAGAATTAAAATCCCGCATGCCATGTGGTGCGGCCAAAACACCTCCTATACCTTTAGAGCTTACATTCTCTCATATGGAGAGAGATGGGCAATACAGAAAAAAGAATAAGTAAGTTACATAGTATGATAGATTTGTCAGTGCTGTGGAAATAATGAAATAAGATTGGGGGATTGGGATGGGCAGGTTGTAAATTTGAATAAGGTGATCATAATTGAAATGACATTTGAACAGAGACTTAGAGGAGGTGAAAAAGTTTCTAAGTGTCTGGGGATAAAGCATTCCAGGCTGTTTCTCTTCAAAGAAGAGTAGTAGCTGGTGGAGAAAGTGGGGTCAGCGGATCTTTTGTGTTTTTTTTTTTTTAAGTGGAGGAAGTGACAGCATTTTCTTAGAAATTACAGTGCTAGTAGGACTCCAACTAGTAGAGGTAGAAAAACTGATAGAGGGGAGAGGTAGGAACATTGCTGGAACAAAAACTTGAGGATGTGAGAGTGGAGAAGGGTGTCTAGTCCATGAGTGGGGAATGGTTTTTGGAGTGGAACCTAGACAGTAAAGTGGATGGATGTTCTATGTAGCCAGTCAGTTTATAGTACATAGATAACTTTCTCATGTCTGACGTCTTCACATTTGTTAAGTCTTATGAAAGAAATTAGAACTTTTATACTACCGCAGATGGTTGTGTTAACTGAGTAAAGCCCATTTTTCTCTTTCTGTGTTTTACAGATTTGATTACTGTTATTTGTGACATTGTGATTTTGTCTTGCTAATGATAATGGCATAGAGGGCATCCATAGCTGAATATGTCCTCTGTGACTATTTTGAAAAAAGCAGTAATTATAATTTTAAATTTGGTTGTGTTCTATAATCATTAGAAAGTGGAGAAATAAAAGTCCTTGTCTTTGAGAAGTTCTTCTAATCAGGTAGAAATCAGACTTGTGAAGGTCTGTTATTACTCTTCCAAGCTGTGTGCCTATTTGTAAGGTTTTACGCTCCACTAATATGAAAATATGTTGGTTTTTCCTGCTGCCTATTACCTGCTTTCTAAGTAGGGGTTGAACTGCTTTAAGTGCCATTTGAAGTACAGTATTCTCAGTAGCAAACTTTGAAGATGTGCTTCGTTTTTTATCGGAGGACAATTTTTAGGTTAATTGAATGATCACTGGAGTCAAATCATGATATTCCCGTTATCGCTATAAAATTTTTAACAGTGTTATAATAGGTTTTGCTTCCTTTACATTTATGTTGGAATGTATAGATATAATGGAAAAGGAAATGGCAACCCACTCCAGTATTCTTGCAGGGAAAACCTCATGGACAGAGGAGCGTGGAGGGCTAGAGTCCATGGGATTGCAAAGAGTCGGATGTGGCTAAGCACGCAGTACATATAAATATGAGGGGATGACGTTATATTGTCATGCTTTTTATTTTATAAAAATACCATATGTTTTTATTTCTCATTTTGTTGCAGTCTATTTATTCCACATTTCTTAATATCTTTATTCTGGGCATTTTGAACATAGTAATTAGAATAAATTTCTTTTAATTGGAGTATAATTGCTTTACAATGTTGTGTTAATTTCTGCTGTACAACAGTGAATCAGCCATTTGTATACACATGTCCGCCTCCCTCCGAGCCTCCTACCCATCCCCCCATTAGAATCCATTTTCTTTACTACTGACGGTAGGTTTTTTTAAAACCAGATTGAGAAATTTGTTTTGTGTGTTTGTGTTTTTTTTTCCTCCTCTTTTTAAGTTTTATTTTTTACTATACTTCCCTCTAACATCAAATGAATGGTTTTGAGTTCCTTTTTCTTATTTTTAATTTATTCAGAATACAGTGTAACTGAAAGGAATTTTTCACATAATACAAAAGAACCATATTGTACATCTTATGAATACTTAGTTTTTATGTATCTGATATTAAGCATGGCAATGGTGATGTCTTATCAGATTGTCTCCTCTCTCTACCTTGACCCTCTGTTAGTAAAGATCTCCCTTCCCCCTTTTAAAATTTGTTTTGAACTGGGAGAGCATTACCATTTCTAGAATTCCTTTAATCTGAGAGGAGAATGCAGTGTATTTTAGTTCAGTCCTCGGATACTTAAAATGGGGGCCTTCAGGTTTTGAGAATTTGGGAACCAGTACTATTCTGTTTTGATATTCCCTGTAATCTTTTAAAATAGCACTAAATAAATTCAGGACATTTTTAGGAATATGTTGTGCTTTTCCTCTAATGATAACCTTTTTTAAAAAAATTATTCTTTAGCAATTTAGAAAACTATTAAAAAAGTTAATTTAGCCATTTTGTAGGGTGTAGGAAACAGGATAGGATTTCTAGAAAACCTGTATTCATCAACTTGGCATGCTTATTCTTTGTGAAGATAAATAGGATTATCTCATTTTTTCTCTCCCTAGACCAGAGGAAGAGTCTTCTTCATCCTCCAGTGATGAAGATGAGGATGACAGGAAACAGATTGATGAGCTTCTGGGAAAAGTTGTATGTGTAGATTATGTTAGTTTGGATAAAAAGAAAGCACTGTGGTTTCCTGCATTGGTGAGTAACTTCAGTATAAGAGTTTAATTTTCAACTATATAAGTTCATGAAGAGAGCAGTTGATTTTCTTAAAAATCAGTATTTTTCATAGGCACAGAATGGGAAGTGGATTTAGCATCATTCAGTTCCCACAGAATTACTTTGAAAATTGTTTCTGGTATAAAGAACTTTGAATTCATCCATGAAAAGCAAAATTATGGTAATTTTAGAGGCTTGGTATATTACACTGCTGAATTTTGGATAAAAAATTCCTTGTGCAAACTTTTAAAACTTCTAAATCTACCATGCAGAAGACTGCTAAAGAAGAACGGAATCTTGTTTTGTACTATTGTCTGCAAATGGCATCTATTTGTCATCATTTTGTTGAACGTTTTGTATTCTGTATCCTGAGTATTAAAAGTGTTTTGCACAAAATAAGTGCCCAATAAATGTCAGCTCTTATAATTTAAACTAATGAGGGCAATTATTTTCATAAATGTAAATATTATATAATACCTTTGTACCTCTTCGTATGTCCATCTATCCATTCCTCATTTATTGGATGCCTGCTGTGTGTAAGGATTGTGCTAAGATCTTTATGAGGATTATGAGGTATGTATTATTTATCCTCATTTAAAGATAAGAAAACTCAGAGTTAGAAGGGTTAAATAACTTTACAAGCTTTGGGTTAATGGTAAGCGGAAAACTTAAGTCAGTGTAGTCATTTCTTATTTCCTAAAGCTCTAAGATTCTTTGTGAGCACTTTTGAAAACATGTTTTAAAAGAGCTTCGTGTGTCTTTTTCTAAAACAACAGAAACATTAAAATTTTCACTTTAGTATTTTCAGTATTGATTTAACATTCTCATCATCATTTCTAAATAGTTTCCTGATGATGAGGAAAAGATTTACGATATCAAAAGGTTAGTAATCTGCTTAGTCAACCATTTCATTATTATTTTTTAACATCTTAGCATTATTGATACGTGTTATCCTCCACGCAAATTTGAGATCTCTTGGACAGTAATGGATAATTTTTATCAACTAGAGTGTGAAATTTTGTTCTGAATCAAACAACCTTGACATAATTACATAAAATATTTGCATTTCTATTTTTGAAAGTAGTTTATAAATTGAGTAATGTTAACAAGTGTCTGATAATGTCATGTTAGAAAACAATTGCATACTCTTAGGAACAATAAATAGCTACCACGTTTTGAGTACTTTCCCTGGCCAGGCACTGTGCTAACTTGTTAAGGTAAGTGCACAGTCTCATTTCATCCTAATTGAGGCTGAAACATAAGTGGTATTTACTCCCATTTTAAGGGATGGAAATCTTAGCTTCCCTGATTCACACAGTCCTGTTTTCAGTTTCTGTCATCATTTTTCCTCTAACTGAGCTTTAAATGTTGTTTAGGGTTCAGAATATATCACTCTATATTTTTTCAGCATGATCTCATCCCCTTTAATAACATTGGTTGCAGAGATAATAAACTGAAATGTCTTAAGGACTGAGAAAATCAGTTGCATGGGTAAATGGGATAAAATATGGATTTTAGTTCCTGTAACAGAATGGAGAGTGGACCCACTTACTTACACACAGTGTCAGCAAAGTCTATCATGTTTGTTTTTCAAAATCCAATCTCATGAGAAAGAAAAAAATGGGTGATTTGGCTCACAGTTTTAGACCTCTATTTAGCTGTTTACTCCCAAGTTTATATCTTAGCATTCAGACCTCTACCCTGGAGCTCTGGACCCGAGTATCTGTCTATTCAGTATCTCTACTTGGTTGTCCTTTAGTCACCTGAAAACTTAACAAGCTTAGTAAGCCTAAGTTTACTCTCTCCTCCCTGTATTCCCAAACTTGACCCCTCTCCATTGTTTCTTTCCCTGTGATCGACACCATTTTCACAAGGTAGAAATGTAAGCATCCTTTTCTCTCTCACCTCTTCACTTCCCTAATTTTCTCTAATATTTCTCATTTCCTTTAATCTGCCATCGCCACCACTTTATATGCAGGTCACCATCTCTCACCTGGATGATTTGCAGTAGCTTAATTTCTTTCAACTCCTGCCCTTCTCTGGCCCATTTTCTTTGTGACAGCCAAAAGTCATTTTAAAAAAGGCGATTCTGCTATGACATTGTCTTGCTTCAGATCCTTCCCTGAGAGACTTTAGAGTTCTGTCCTCAGAATTGACATGGCTTACAAAATGGACAAATCTAAGCTCTGCTTATCTTTCTTATTTAGCCCAGGCAGAAAGTTAGCCACGTTGACCTTTTACTTCCTAGAATGGGTTGCACTGCTTGCTGTGTCAGGCCCTTCCCATAATCTGTTACCTCTTCTTGCAGTGCAGCCTGGCCTACAGACATGTGTATATACATCCATCCTTTGTCAAATTAGCTACTGCTCAGTTTTCAAAGCTTAGTGTAAATGTTGTGTCCTCAAAGAAGTGGCTTCTGACCGCTAGATAGTAGCAGTTAAATACAGGTACACGTACTTGGTTAACGCTTGTCTTCCCAGTTAGAGTACAGGCTCACCGTGGGGGGAACAGTGGCTGTCTCAGCCTCTGTGCTCTAGTACATGGCACCTTGATGAAATGGTTTGTATTTCTAGAGTGACTGGATGAATGAATGGACAGATTAAGTGTTTACTTCAGGACCCTTTTGAAATGATAGGAAAGTTTTCCTAGATGCTAATACACGTAAAAGCCTTTTCTTAGTGAATTATTTCATAATGCCATCAACATTTAAGCAATGCTTAATGCAGTGCAATTACAATTATGGAAATTGTTAACCTTTTAGAGACTGAATTAGGTGAATTCCCTATGCTATCCAGTGGTTAGGACCAGTGCTTCCACTGCGGGAGGAATGTTCAGTCATTGGTTGAGAAACTGAGATCCTGCGTAACACACGATGCAGCCAAAACATTAGAAAATAAATTAGAAAAAAAGTGAATTAAAGACTGAATTAGAACTTACATATTTCTGGCTCCTCTCAAACCTGTAGTGAGAATACATGCATTTAAGTACCATTCTGGCATTCTTCAGAGCTAATGAGACAGTCCTTAAATCCGTCATACTTATTTAGCCCATTTTTTTTTTCATAAGAAAACCAAACTAGGATGTTGTTCTTGGTATATATAGTGAACTGTCTTGGAATTAAAATAACAAAAATTTATAGGTGTCTTGAATTAATATTATCTTTGAGAAGGCATGCCTTAGCCTTACTTTCAGTAATAGTTGGAGTGACTTCAAATAAAATCTTTTATTTTGGTAGTAGTAAATGTTATGTAGATTCCAGGAAGGTACTCACTTGAGAATAATTTGTTTTCAGAATGGGTAGTAGTATGGAGAACTTTTAGTATTATTAACATACATGTTTAGATGTAAATAATAAGCAGCACATCACCTCTGCCTTTTTAAAGATAGAGGCTGCTCTGATTAAGATTCTGATACCCCACTTTGGTCCCTGCCGTTCTCCCAGCCCTGCTGCAGACCTTCTGTTAAGACTGGCTCCCCCTCTTTCCATCCCTGCGCCACTCTCATCCAGTCTTCTGTTTCTTCCTAGACTTGGTCCATGGCATCAATCTAGTCAGAGCCATGATTGTGCTCAAAATCATGCCGATGTCAAAAAATAACGTGGATAATCCAGAGAGCTGGAAGGATATAGAAAATAAAATTACTTGTGTGCATTCCCACATATGTGTGTGTGTGTTTTAGGATATAAACTTTAAATTGCTTGTTTGTTATACATGTGTATGTTTTTTTACCCTCAAACTAAAGTTAAGTTTTTAAATTTTAAGCTGAAACTATTTTTTAAGATTTAAATAATTGATACTTACGTAACTATCTATAAACAGTGCTTTTAGTTATAATAGTTTCATACTTTTTTTTTTAAAAGGTGGTATGTCCTGATTGTAGTGATGAAATTGCTGTGAAAAAAGATAATATTCTTGTTCGATCTTTCAAAGATGGCAAATTGTAAGTATAATTCACTTGGTGAATTATTATGAAAAATAGGCTGCTTTTCCAAATTAGGATGATAAATTATAAATTAGTTATTTCCAGTGATGTTCTGCTTTTCCTTTTTATCGTTCAGAGTGTTTCAAAGCATGATCATCTTTCATATTGTCATTAAGTGTAGTAGTCTTAAAATATGTCTTGTTCAGTTGGTCTTTTCTAAGCTATACTCTCAATGCTAATTTATCAGTATTTGCCTATATAATAGCTGATGGTTTATTGAGGAAAATTCAGTAAATCTACCACATCTAATACTTCATGGATATATTAATTGATATTTATTTATTGTTTTGAATATCTAATTAGGATTTTCTAACATTTTAAATTATTTCTAAATGAGTGTGGTAATACCTGTTTTGTAATGTTTGAATTTTTCAGTAGTCTTAAGGATTAAAATGAGTTACTATAAATATATGTTGGATATTAAGATAATGAATTTTCATGTAGAACTTTTCTACAACTGAGTTATCAGTTTGTATGGGTGTTTTTTCCCTTTAAGAATTGTGTGACTGTGGAGAAGGAAATGGCAATCCACTCCAGTATTCTTGCCTGGAGAAATCCATGGACAGAGGAGTCTGGTGGGCTGAAGTCCATGGGATTACATGACTGAGCATGTGTGCACGAGGGTGGAGGGAGATGGGTTGGTAGCAATAAAGTGGTAGAACTAAAAAAAAAAAAAAAGAATTGTGTGACTAGAAAATCCATGTATTTTATGTTGATATTTTGCCTTATCAGGTGAGTGCTTTAAAAAGATCATCATACTTTAAGATTGGTTTTTGGATTTTCAAGTTCTGAAACATGACTTAAAAATAATCTATATGAAACTCACTTTCACAAAAGTTTGAGCATTGAAATTGAATACTAGTTTGTTGATATTAAGAAATTACTATGAATTTTTAAATGTGTGATGATAGGATTGTATTTTCAAAAGAATAAAGTATTATAAATTAAATTCTATAATGTCTGAGATTTGCTTCAAAATAATCCACTTGGTGTGGGAAGAGGTAGATAGGGGTATAAATGAGACACTGACTCTGAGTTAATGATTGTTGTAGTTGGATGATGGATTCATGGGAGTTCATTTTGCAGTTATACTTCTGTATATATTTGAAATTTTTAAATTTAAAATTTAAAAAGAGGCAGGCTGAAAAGTGTATTTGGAATAGTTCTTAGACTTCTGTGGATTGGTTGAAACAAACCAAGTGCAGAAAAGCTTTAATAAGATGATAAATAATGATGATTTATTCATGTTAAGTAAGAAATAAATGTGACGTATATGATAAAATGACCTCTCCCAGTTGCTTGCATCCAAACCCTTCTTATAGTTTCTACATGAAAGAACTTCAATTGTATATTAGAAGTTTGCTTTGAACCTAGAATTCAGTTTAAACAAAATTGTTGAACATTTTACGTTATAAAATAGTACATTTTCTTCCAATCTTAAATTTATTTATTTCTTGAGATTATCTTAAGATGATGGCAAATTCTTTGCTATTTAACTTATTTTTTTTTATTGGATTGATACATTCTGCTATGTAAACATTTTAATAGATTATTTTCAGGGTTTCAATATTTTTAGTGTTGCATTTAACCAGTTACTCCGAGAATTCTTATAAAACATCTTATTAAGGTGGGGTCCTCTTGTAGATGATTCCGTTTTTAATGTCCTGCCTAGTATTTTGTTTTGAGATTTGCAACCCTGTGTGCAGTCATTTCCATCAGTGTTCCCATGTTTTCAGTATCTTTCCAGGGTAGGTAATTGGACTCATAATTAATCTTTGTTGTATTTTTGTGGGTTTTTTCCTTTAAAATTAAAATAATACAGTACTTCAGTACCAAGAAAGGATGTCCATGAAATTACTAGTGACACTGTACCAAAGCCTGACGCTGTATTAAAACAAGGTAAGGATAATTTTGGATTTATACTTAATTTAAATTTATACTTAATTTAAAAACTGATGAGGTATGTCCTGGTGGTCCATTGGTGGACTCTGCGCTTTCTCTGCTGGAGCTTTCACTGCTGGAGTTCTGGTCAGGGAACTAAGATCTCATAGGTCGCACAGTGTGGCCAAACAGAGAGAAAAGAGAAACCAATGAAGTATTTCTGAAGATTATTCTTTTGGTTTTAAAAAAAATTTTTTTTTTTAATGAAGTTTTTGAAGTTACCTTTGGTCCCATGTGACCTCTGCTTTTGTAACCAATGTGTCTTTTGTTATCATAGTATTCTCTCTTTTTTTTTTTAGCTTATAATTGGGGCAGTAATCTAAAAAAGATCAAGAACAAGATCATCAGCTATCACTGTAGTCTGGCCTAGTAAATAAAATATCAGTTCCTGAGGATGGTAAAAACAGGAATCAAAGTAGTCTTGATTTTTGTCATTTCTTGTAACAGTAGTTATATTTTATTGGGGAATATGCTGTAATTACATCTCTTACTTGATTTTTGGCACTGTAAATAACTATTTTTTCTTTGCCCATGTTTACCAAATTAGATAATACACTATATCATCAAGATTTATAGTTGAGAATTTATTTCTCTGTATTGTAAAGTGAGAATAACTGTGTCTAGGTATTTATAGTTAAATTAATCATTAATATAACTTTAATTCAGAGTTAACTGAAAATATAGAGTACGTATTTATAGTATATTTTCAGATACTTGTAAGTTACTGCAGTGGCTCTGTGCCTGTTACATAATACTGTTTAATAATTTTTTTGATAAAATGATTATGAAGGTTTAATGTTTACTAGATTTACTTCAATGTTTAATGTTTACTATTCATTCTTAATTTTTGTTTAAAAGAATATATCTGCCCCTTTTCTTGTCTTCATTTGAACCTAAGTCACCTGAGTTTTGCCATCTATAAAATAGATACCTAATGCCTAAGACTGTTAAGATTAATGGGTTGCTACACCGAAAAGCAGTTAGCTCAATGCCTAGCCCATAGCAACCGCTTCATAAATGTCAGTGGTGGCAGCACAGTAGTTTTTATTTCTTTATCCTGTTAATATTTTTAGACAAATCAGTTCTTAATTTCTCCAGTTGATAGTTTATGACCTCTTTCCAGCCTTTGATCAGGCACTTGAATTTCACAAAAGTCGAACTATTCCTGCTAACTGGAAGACTGAATTGAAAGAAGATAGTTCTAGCAGCGAAGCAGAGGAAGAAGAGGAGGAGGAAGATGATGAAAAAGAAAAGGAGGATAACAGCAGCGAAGAGGAGGTGAGTAAAAAGAGTTAATGCCTTTTACAGTGAAAACCAGTTGAGTTCCCTTTGGGATTGGCATGAAGTCATTAATCACTTAAATATTTTTAGTATCAGAAGTGTTTCATAATACAATGGTTCTTGTGTATTCATCATAATCAAATAGTTTGCTTACATATCCTTAAAATAGAAATATGGTTTTGTGAAATTAAAAATACTAAGTGTAGTTATCCCTGTAACCTCAAAAATATTTCTTAATCTTCAGTCCATAATGTATATGAATGTCAAATCAATATGTCATACACCTGAAATTGGTACAGTATTGTGTGTCATCTATATTTCAGTTAAAAAAAGGGAAAAAGTATTTCTTAATACAGCAAAACTCTACTTTCATATGCTTTTTACCGTCACGTAGACAGCTGTGACCTCATACTATGTTTACATCTGCATATTTTATTACAGCATCTCATAAAGAATAAAATGTCTTTTATCTAATGTGAAAGGAATAATCAGCATAAAAGTAAAGATTAATATCTTTGATTCAAAGAATCAATACAAAGTTTTGTGTTAGATTTTATCTTATACAAAATAAGACGTCTGTGAATTTATGTGGATCAAGGAGCTAAATTTAGATTTTATTGTAGCTGGTACTTTAGGTCCATCAATGACAAATACTGACAAAATTGCCCATAATATTACTAGTGACAGTGCGCCACTGTGCTCTTTAATGGTTTGCTGAATGGCTCTATGAAAGTTATTGGGGGAATAATGATGCAGATAATGATAGCTGCAATACATGACCATTGTATTTAGTGTCTTCAGGAAACAAAGATAAGTTAAGGTCAATATGTAATATTTTAGGTAAGTTATGAAATTTTTCCATGTAACTGCAATAAACAACTATTGATGAAGTAGGAACATTTTATTAAAGTTTATGTTTTATAATATAGTGATCTATAATGACAGTGTGTAGTGTGAAAACTTCCCTGGCATCAGTCTTCCCCATTTTTTCCTATTTAAAATGTTAAAAATAAGCCATCAGTCCCTTGCTTAAGGCTTCTCAGGTGGCGCAGTGGTAAAGAGTCTGCCTGCAGTGCAGGAGACGTAAGAGATGGCAGGTTTGATCCCTGGGTCAGGAAGATCCCCTTGGGTTAGGCAGTGGCAACCCCGTCTAGTATTCTTGCCTGAAATCCCTTGGGCTGGCAGGCTGCAGTCCGTCCGAGTCACTCCTCTGGAAGTCAGGCTCTACTTTCAGAACCTCCCTTTATAGCCCACCCTGCGCTCTCTTTTTTCCCATCACTTCTTCTGGTATATTCTCCTGCTTTATTTTTTTGTTTGTTTGTTTTTGGTGGTACCACATGGCTTTCCAGATCTTAGTTCCCCAACCAGGTGTTGAACCTGGGCCTTTGGCAGTGAAAGTGTGAATTTCTAACATTGGCCCTCCAGGGAATTCCCTGCCCTCCTGCTTTGAACTAGGTTGTAGCAACATCGAATTACAAACCTTTGTTTCTACTCACTTCTGTACAAACCAATACCTTTGTCTGCAGTGCCCTTCCCCACCCCACCCTTTGTCAGCATGACACACTCCTGTTGAGTTTTTTAAACCTTACTAACCTGTTTTCTCTGTAAAGGAGAGAACCATCACCTTCTGCAAGTAAAGTTAATCACTCCATTTGATAATCTAAACAGATACCACCCCTTGTAGAAATTTTTGCCTACATATATACATGGCATTCAGAGAAGGCCGTGGCAACCCACTCCAGTACTCTTGCCTGGAAAATCCCATGGACGGAGGAGCCTGGTAGGCTGCGGTCCATGGGGTCGCTAAGAGTCAGACACGACTGAGCGACTTCACTTTCACTTTTCACTTTCATGCATTGGAGAAGGAAATGGCAACCCACCCCAGTGTTGTTGCCTGGAGAATCCCAGGGACAGAGGAGCCTGGTGGGCTGCCGTCTGTGGGGTTGCACAGAGGTGGACAGGACTGAAGCGACTTAGCAGCAGCAGCATACACACATTACATAGGTGCATGTATTTATTTTCTATTTGTTTTCTGCCCTGCTAATCAGTAAGCTCCTCAAGGGTCAGGAGTCCATCTTACTTGTACTCATACTCATAGTGTCTGTAATAGTGAGTAACATGTAACAGATGATCAGTAAATATTAGTTACCAAAACTTTTTGTTACTTAGATTTATATTTTACAGATGTTTTCATAAAAGCAAATCTGGTTTCCAGTTTAAACATTTTTTTTTAAGTTAAATACAAACTTCACTTAAAATTTTGGCAGTAGGAAAAAATTTGGTGGTTTATGAAAGTCACATATTGTACCATGGGAGCATTTAAGAAAATACCTAGAAAACAGTATTCCTTAGACTTAGGTCTGACTACCTTACCAAAATGCAGTGCATTGGATCATGTTTAGGTTGAGAAAAACAAATTTTATCATAAGCAAACTAATAATTGTCATTTATTCTTCTCTGCCCAATTATTAGCAAGCATAGTAGTTTTATTGATACAAGTTTTTGTTGTCTTTAACTTCCTTTTTCCTGCTTGCTTTTAAGATAGAGACAAATCTCACTCCAGCAGTGATTTTAGACACATGGTTTTTAAAATTAGAATGATATATTTAGGCTATCAGTTGAAAAGTATTCTTCTGACTTTTACCACTTGGAATACTTTTGTTTCAACCAGAGTAACTGTAAAGCCTCAGTGTGTATTTTGAATCGCTTCCTCTGCAGTTACTACTGATCATGCTCTGTAACGGCAGGCACCATCGCTTGTTTCTCTTTTGACTCAGCACCTTGCATAGTGCCTACACTCACTGGTGCTCATTAAATGTTTGTTGATGGTCACTGAATTGATGAGTTCCTCCATCTCACCTACTACCCTGCTCCTTGCAGGTTGCTTCAGGACCAGCTCCCTACTGCCACAGCCCCTGGCCACAGCAGCAAGAAGCTAGTCCCTCCCTTGTAATTGATAAATCGGGGAACTATTTTATTACTTGAAGATTTCCCTAAGTCTGAATCTTCAGGTATTGTAGATCAAGTTTGTTCCCCACTTTACTGATTTTATAAGTTTGAAGTACTATACTGTGGGGCCCAATATAGTGAAGGATAATTTTAGTTGCAGCTGATGGGGCCTTCACTTGTTTAGTTCCTGGAGGAGCGAGAGTAGAGTCAGTTTCAATGTTAAGCCCTGACCCAATTTTATATAAGTGAGAGTAGGTCTTCTTGAGCCTGTGACCGTGATTTAAAGACTAGATCTCTGATGTGGTAAAAAGTTCATGAACCATCTTGTTGGTCTCATTTCTTATATGAGCATTTACATTTGGGATTGTCACTATTGAGATAACCTTTTAGGACATATTTCTCTGTAAAGCATAAAATGTCTAGACTTTCTGGTTTTGAATAGCTTAGTGTTAAGTAATTTTTTTTTTTTTTGGTAAAAAGCCTTTGAAATATTCTAGTATTAGTCTTTGCTGTTGGTAGGAAATCTGCTTGTGTTATTAAAATGCTTAACTGAGGAAAATAATATTTTATTCTTCTGTGACTAAAATTAGGAAGAAATAGAACCATTTCCAGAGGAAAGGGAGAACTTTCTTCAGCAATTGTACAAATTTATGGAAGACAGAGGTGAGTGTTTTTTCTTTGATTCTTTATTAATGTAGATAGCAGATAATATCTTTTTTTTTTCAGATAATATCTTAAAAATAAGAATTCTGTTTATTAAGGTGCATGTCACTGGTAGTCATGGCTATCATTTTGATTACCAGTATCACCAGCATCCTAGTGTAATGTCTGTCACGTAGTAAGTAGAATGTGGGATTTGACAGTATTTTGATGGATGTTATGGCCATGGACCTGTAAATAACTGTATTCTGTCTTGTCTATCCCACCACTTCTTTGGGGGACCCCAAAGAACCCTTACATTAGAAAACAGTAACAATGGGAATCATAGTGTCATTTTATTTGAGCCTCCCTGTATGCCTGTAGAAAAGCCTCTTCTCTAAAATCACTGCCAGCTGCAAGTTGTATGTGTTTGTGTATGTAAGTAAGAGAGAGACACACAGACAGACACGGCACTCATTCTGAGATGGGCCATAAGTCTTACATGACTTAGCCACATAAAACTAAGAACAAAATTAAATCAAGTGTAGAGAAAGGTGACCAAGGTGAGCCTTGTCTTAGCTTTTTGAATCTGCCTTTGTGGTTCAAGAAATATGAGCATGGGTAATTAGCACTAACTTATTTATTTACTTATTTTTTGTTTTAGAAGGAAACTTTATTTTTTTTCCCATTTATTTTTATTAGTTGGAGGCTAATTACTTTACAATATTGTAGTGGTTTTTGCCATACATTGACACGAATCAGCCATGGATAGTAATATTCCATTGTGTATATGTACCATAGCTTTCTTATCCATTCGTCTGCTGATGGGCATCTAGGTTGCTTCCATGTCCTGGCTATTATAAACAGCGCTGCGATGCACATTGGGGTGCACGTGTCTCTTTCAGATCTGGTTTCCTCGGTGTTAACACTAAGTTTTAACTTGGAGTGATCTAGTCATCTAGTAACTGTGGCCCTGTTTCTTTCTTACCTGCTGTTATGAGTATAGTTTCTCCTTTCCTGTAAACATGCTAGCAAGGTAGAGGGCAGAGGCTGAAAGCTTTCTGACTTGAAGAAAAAGACAAATTGAATGAATGACACTTAGAAGTGCTATTATGCTTTGTGAATTCATGTTTTTTTAATCCAGTTTTGTATTGTTGATGAATAGCTTCGGGCTTGGTCGTCTTTTTGCTCTCATAAAGCATAGTGGCTACTACAATATAGTTATCTTTTTATTCTAAAGTATAAAATGTCCTTGATTTATGTGTTTATTTGTATGCATGGAGGCTTGGCCTAAGAAGGCAGGCTATTTCTTAAGCTTTTTTTATATAAGCTAAATTAAAAAGTGAAGAAAATGAATAAAATCTAATATATGTTTTTTGGAAAGGGCAATAGGTTGTGTATCTCTATCCTGTTATTTTCTCTTATCACATTCTAACAGTCTGATAGTTTTAGTATCCTACTTTTTTACATCCTGGAATAAACAACACTATAACTTTACTCTAGAATTACTTACTTTGTATAATAATAGTAAATTAGTAAAATACAAAGAAAATAAAAGGTAATTCCCATTGTGAAGCAGTTGCCCATCAATTATCTCAACACTGTTTTCAGTTCTACCAAACATTGTTACACTGATGTTTTAAATTTTTTGTTGGTGTTTTATTTTGCTTCATTTACTATTTATTCTTTTGCTCATCAGGGGAGTGAAAGTGAAGTAAAATATAAATAAAGTTTCAAAAATCTGATATAGGAAAAAAGTTTTTGATAAAATGAATTTAAGTAGATATATTTTTGATTAACCAGGGCTATTTTTCTCATATAGACACAGATTGCACTGTATATATTTGACGGTAATGTTTGAATCTTTTCAAAATTTAAATAAATATGAAGCATGGTTCTGATATATTCGTGTTTTCTTTAATAGGCACACCTATTAACAAACGACCTGTGCTTGGATATCGAAATTTGAATCTATTTAAGTTGTTCAGACTTGTACACAAACTTGGAGGATTTGATAATGTAAGTATTAGGATCAGAAGTGAAACATGTTCTTCATACATGTTTTCTCATCTAAAAATCATCCAAAAGTGTCTATTAACAAAAACTTAAGAATAAAAGGAAAAGAAAATGAAGAGTACAAGTTAGAAATCTGGTCTTCCTCAGACCAAATTTAAATTTGAAGATTTTTAAAAATGAGCTTTCCAATTTACTATTAAGTTTGTCAAACTTTCATAAGCTATCTGAGTCATAACACAACCATGTTAGTGGAAATTCTTTCTGTGTCTCTTCTCCATTAGACAATAAGATCGGTAAGAGCAGGGATCTGTCTTAATATTCTTTATATCCTTGATTTCTACCACTGTGCCTTACATATATAGAAAACATTATTTGCATATATATGTGTGCATATACACAGAAAGTCTTTGTTGAACTGAAGAAATTATCTTAAGGTTGCCATGATGTATGGTACTCATCCAGTGAAGACTATTTTGGGGGGAGAAAGGTACGTTGTGTTACTAGGATTCATGAAACGACTTTATTATAGGAAATCATACGTCATGGAAAATTTTTTATCTGTCATTTCATTAAGATTTTGATTCAGGAATGTAGATGTTTTCTTATTTACCATAGCAGGGTTTATTTAAATGTCAAACGGGGACTTCCCTGGCTATCTGGTGGTTAAGACTCTGAACTTCCCCTGTAGGGGAAGCAAGCTTGATCCCTGGTCAGGGAGCTGGGAACTGCATGCCTTGAGGCATGGCCAAAAAGGTAAAACATCAAATGACCTAGGATTTCAGCATTTATAATTCTCTGAGATTTGTTAGAATACCAAAACTTACTTAAAAACATTGCTGTAAACCAGATTATTTTATTTAGAATTTATCAAAATTGGTATTTTTCATTCCTTGAGACTAGAAACAACAAATATAGAACTACATAATACACAGACACACACAAGCACACACATTGGGTATTTATCAAAGTTTTATCATATTCCCCACCTTTTAATTTTTGAATTTTCATTTTACTCTGTTAGATTGAAAGCGGGGCTGTTTGGAAACAAGTCTACCAAGATCTTGGAATCCCTGTCTTAAATTCAGCTGCAGGATACAATGTTAAATGTGCTTATAAAAAGTAAGTCCGTGCACTCAATATAGCTATGTTCAACAGCATTTTACCTAGAAAGCAGGATGGAATTTACCATATCACTGAGGCTAGTAATTTCAAGGATGGTTTACTAGAGTAATCACTCTATAATAGCATTTTCTAGAGTGTAGTCCATGAATATTCAGTTCAATCGCTCAGTCGTGTCCAACTCTTTGTGACCCCATGGACTGCAGCACGCCAGGCCTCCCTGTCTATCACCGACTTCTGGAGTTTACTCAAACTCATGTCCATTGAATTGATGATACCATCCAATCATCTCATCCTCTGTCTTCCCTTCTTCTCCCGCCTTCAATCTTTCCCAGCATCAGGGTCTTTTCACATGAATCAGTTCTTCACATCAGGTGGCCAGAGTATTGGAGTTTCAGCTTCAGCATCAGTCCTTCCAATGAATATTCAGGACTGATTTCCATGAATATTAGATCTGTGAGATAATCTGTGAAGAAAGTTTTTGTGCTCAAGCAAATTTGAAAAGTATTGTGTAGAAGTTAAAATGCCAAAGTTTTAAAGTCACATAAACCCAGGTTTGAATCCTGGTTCTGCCAGTTACTTGTTTATGCCCTTTGGCCATTTATTTGTTCTTTTAGACCTTGATTTTCTTGTTTTTAAAATGAGATAATACTATTTGTCTCATAGTAATGATTAGTCTGATCAGCTAGTGAAATTTTACATATACTCAGAGGCCCAGTACCTGACATATAAGTAGATGCCATTACTAGTTCTTCTCATAGCTACTGTTACTACAGTTACTGCATTTAAGATGATGACTTTCTTTTCACTTTTAGCAGTTTTTTAATGAAGTCTTTTTCTTTGAAAAAAGTTTTTATTTGAGTAAAAAGATTGTAAAGAACTGAACTAGAATAAGCTAGAGTATTAAGGTAGCTCAATATCTGAGAACTTAGAAGAAGTGAACACATATTTTAAAAACCACAACTCTACAATAACATTTCAAAATGTTTTCCCAAATATAACTTCTTTTCGTGTTTCCAGATACTTATATGGTTTTGAGGAGTACTGTAGGTCGGCCAATATTGAATTTCAGATGGCACTGCCAGAGAAAGTCGTTAACAAGCCTTGTAAGGAGTGTGAAAATGTAAAAGAAATAAAAGTTAAAGAAGAAAATGAACCAGAAATCAAAGAAATAAAGACTGAAGAGGAAGCGAATATAATACCCAAAGAAGAAAAGCCTCTTGAAGAAGGTATTGAAAGCAAGGAGCCTCAGCCCTCTCAGGTAAATAGGATACTGTTAATAGTCCTTTGTTTTCTCTGGTACATTGTCTCCATCCTCTCTAAAGATGCCTTATTTAATTTACCTTATAAATTTTATTGTTCGTGCATTTTCTTTATTACATACTATTTTTGTGTTTGAAATAGCTGTTAGCTATTTTTGCCATTGTTTTAGGGATGGCAGAAGATTGTTAAAATAACTTTCTCAGTACTGGTTGGTACCTCCTGAGCTAGTAATTAGATAATGGAATTAGGTTGACAATTTTTACTTTTGTTGGTTTAGTTCCTCTGATCTTTTTCTAGGGGAGTAAAAAGAATTTATTAGAATCTGTGCCTCCACAATCTGAACAGGAAAAAGAAGTTAACGTGAAAAAAACAGAAGAAAATGAAAATCTGGAAGATAAAGATGGTGAGACAACGGGAGCAGATGAATCCCTCAGCATAAAGGTAGAAGCTGAAGAAGAAAAAGCAAAATCTGGGTAAGAAATCTGTTTTTGGTTGAGATGCGTTTTATAGCTGAATGAATTCTTATAATTTGCTCTTTGTGTGTTTGTATGAATCTAAATGTGATTGACAAAATAAATGAGTGATTTTAATTTGTATTTATTATGCAGATAGCATTTGCCTCCTTCAGAGACCCTACTAATGCAAATTTGTAGAAAAAGATCATATTTCTGATCCATTATTCTTGCTCTCATCATGGAAATTTATGAAATCTTGAGCTAGAGAAGAACAGTTCTTACTGCATTAGCCTCTGCTGCATAACTAGATAATACAAATTTGGAAAGATGGCTTTCTCCAGTGTTTTGTAGATGGTATGTTGGGTATAGATTTTGAGAGTTGTCATCATTTTTTAAGCAAAAAATAAGAATGGAAAACTGCTAGTACTTAATTTATAAAAAGTCAGAATTGTTATGTTGCATTTTACGTGATAGCATTTACTTGGTTTGGTCAGTTTGAAAATTATTTAGCAATGTATCAATAATAACTATACTGACAGTGGACCCTGCATTTTATAGGTGATCTTTGACATTTCATCCTGTTTCTGAGGCTTAAAAAAAATCTAAACATCCCCATTGTTAATGATTCTTTTAAATAAGTACAACTATATATTTTTTTGATCATTTTCGTATTTTCTAAAATTTGGCCACAGCATGCAGACCAGCAAGGAAGAGGGAAAAACGATGCTTAGATGACTATATAGTAAAATGTGTTTATTACACTTTGTAATATATATGTCTCTCTGGTGTACAAATGTGTATTTCAAGTACTTCTTAGTGATACTGGAAATTATTTCTACTTTTAAGAAACTTGGGATCTTTTTGCTTAAAATCTCTTGCTCGTTTTGGTGGTGGTTGGTGGTTTAGCCACTAAGTTGTGTCCGACTCTTATGACCCCATGGTTGTAGCCTGCCAGGCTCCTCCGTCCATGGGATTCTCCAGGCAAGAATACTGGAGTGGGTTGCCATTTCCTTCTCCAGGGGATCTTCCCGACCCAGGGGTTGAACTCCTATTTCCTGCATTGCAGGCATATTCTTTATCGACTGAGCCATTTTAGTGTTGTTCTAAAATTTTGACCACAACATGCAAATAAACATGGAAAAATGAAACAAAACTGACTTTGGGATTCTCCAGGCAAGAATACTGGAGTGGGTTGCCATTTCCTTCTCCAGGGGATCTTCCCGACCCAGGGGTTGAACTCCTATTTCCTGCATTGTAGGCATATTCTTTATCGACTGAGCCATTTTAGTGTTGTTCTAAAATTTTGACCACAACATGCAAATAAACATGGAAAAATGAAACAAAACTGACTTTAGATGAGTATAGTTTGTTTATTATACTTGGTTATGTTTCTGTGTGTTAAATGTATATTTGAAGTACTCTTGCTGCTACTTGAAGACTACATCAGCTATTAAGAAATTTTGTGAGGATTCAGCTTTTTGCCTAAAAATCTGATTTATAAATATGCATCTATTTCTGGAGCATTTACCGCGTGGAAAGCCCTGTAATAAGCCTGTATTTTCTCTTTGTGACTAATAATTGTCTTAATTTTTCACATTGGTACTTCAGCTTATTTTATGGTATAAACTATATTTTGTAGATTTTTTAAAATTCTTCAGCTATATGGCTTATGTATTTATTTATTAAATTTTTAACATTTTTACACACTTTTTTTAAAGTTTAAGTTTTATTTTTGACTGCGTCAGGTCTTGGTTGTGGCACCCAGGCCTCTCTCTAGTTGCAGTGCGTGGGCTCCTGAGGTCGGGCTCAGCAGTTGCGGTGCACAGGCAAAGTTGCCCTGTGGCATGTGGGGTCTCAGTTGCTTGACCAGGGATTCAACCTGCGTTGCCCCTACTGCAAGGACCACCAGGAAAATTCCTATGGCTTTTTTATTTACTGCAGGTATTTATAAATGTATCATACCACAAAGACATTTTCCTGATGTGGCTGTTGTAGAAGATTATGGGTTATAAATATCCACAACTGATCTCTGAATTTTATTAGATCAGTGCAACAGAAAATTTTGTGATTGTAAAGAATTCATATATAAATTGTCTCTGAGTAATTAGCTGGTGCAGGACCTTTCAGTGTCCTTCCTTTGTAGTTCAGGTGTGGAAGATTAAATAATTAAATTTATGTAAAATATCTGGTTCAGTGCCTGGCCCGTAGTAGGTACTAATAAACTATAGTAGTTATTTTGTTCTTAATTTTGGTCCATTGTAAGTAAGGAATGTGATCTCAAACTTGGGAAATCTGATATTTGTGAGTTCAGATGAAAAAGTCCTTGTGGATACATTTGGTTTCCCAAAATGTAAAAGATAACTGATGCAATATGTGTGTGTTTTGTGTTTATGTTTGTATGTAATGCATACATCTGCTTAGTATACTGGCTACATTTTATCTTTGAAGGGCTCTCTTTCTTGGCATTCTGAGTCCTGTTTGGTGTGTCTACCTCTGATTTTGCCACTGAGAAGAGAAGGAGGGGAGAATATTTGCTTCAGCTGATAGCCAGTAATTGTGTTGTATGCCTTTTTGTAGTTCAGCGTGTTATTGAGTGACTCTCATTTGGTTTGTGTCTGAGGATGACATTAAATGAGAAATTCTAATTTTTAATTGCTTTTAAAAATTAATACTGAGTGTTAGGTTTTTATTCCAGATTACATAAAAGATTGTGCTGGCTACCACCTAAAGTAGGACTGTACTAGCTGTTACTGGCGTTTGCCGGTTGGCTTCAGTGCTGCGTGTGTGTGTGTGCTCAGTCGCTCAGTTGTGTCTGACTCTTAGCGACCCCGTGGACTGTAGCCCACCAGGCTCCTGTGTCCATGGGATTCTCCAGGGAGGAACGCTGGAGTGGGTTGCCGTTTCCTCCTCCAGGGGATCTTCCTGACCCAAGGATCGAATCTGTGTCTCCTGCCTTGGCAGGTGGATTCTTTACCCTTGAGCCACCAGGGAAGCCCTCAGTCCTATATAGTTTTGGCTTAATAATGTAATGTACAGTTTAGAGTTAGTTTTCGTTTAAAACGTTTTAGACTTTTAATCGTCTTATATCTCTTTTATGTTTTGTTCAGTGATTCTGAGATGCATGATAAATCTCTTTGGTGTTATGATTCATCTCTGTTGTATCGCCAGAATATACTTCCTTTTCTCCCTGATGAGCAGTGATATAATCTTCTGATTAAACAAGTAGTAGTCTTTCTGAAAAAGCATTACTGTTTTAATTTTACATGTTTATTACATATATATTAATCAGTTAAAGTTAATGGTTTATCTGATGGTTTCCTAGGTATTTCAGCCTTTCTGATAGTTTCTTAAATATTTCAGCCTTACTTACAATTTTTTCATTATAGAAATGTTAATATATTTTCAGTAGTAGAGTTCATATTTTTTATCTCAGATTACAGCTGGATTCATTTAATTTTTAAGTACCTATTTGACTATAAACAAGTCTTTAAAATAGGAGTAATTCTTAAGAATCTTTGTAGACTTTGTGATGCATTTCAGAGAAAATTGACTCATTTGGTACTTTTGTGAACTCAGACTTAATTTCATAAGTGTATTAAGCTTCCCTTCATCCCTGCTTGCCTCACTGTATAGAAGGAAAGGGGTAGGAGAATAAAAAAGCCTTATAGTTCTACTTGTGACACTATTTCTTGTTTATTTTTTGTTGCTACATAATTGTGTAATTAGGACTGATAAAGTATATTATTGCTAAAAAAGTTTGCATATAAGAATATAAAACTAAAATTATTAGTGGAGGAATATTTTTTTAATCTACATATTATACCCATTAACTTTGAAGGGTTAGTTACTTATCTGTCTTATGGTTCTGTTTTATGACATTTATTCATTTGTCAGCTATAAAGTGATGGATTCTTTTTGAGAGCAAACTGTTGTAATAAGGATAGACATACTGCAGAGTAAATTAAAACTAGTTGAAGTTTTTTAAAAATAAATCTAGTACTTGGAAAATTTATAATTTAGGATTTTTCTCCAATTTATTGAATACAAATTTGTGGTCAATATAAAATGAATATGATTGTTTTAGAAAGTATATGATATTGAAAAGACCAGAATGGTTGCATTGCTGCTTTTAGAATGCAAATGACTTTAAGTTTCATATTTGCAACTGGTCTCTCCTATGCCTGTTTCTTCAGAACTTTAAAGTTCAGAGAATTGGTAGAAGAGGACTTTTGGTAAATATGGAGAAAAGAGAGCAGAAATTGTGTTGAAGTTTAGAAGAACAGAAAGAAAAAACTTGATGAGATTTTAATGTGAACTTAGTAGGATATTCCTATAAAAGGTGAAATAATATTTAATACAACTTTGGAAAATCTGGTTGAAATTATTTTAATTATTAAGACTAGCCATTGGCTAGTAAAAACTTGTTTAAACATCTGGAGGTTGGAAATATTTGAATGAAAAATATTTTTTAGTCAGAAAATGGCTATGAGGTATGATGATTTTTGTTTTTGTTAGCTGAGTTATAAAAAACTTCTACAATAAAACATGAGAAAAATGTTAGCGTCAACCTTACTAGCTAGTTTGTTGCTGATCAGCACAACTTCTGTTCTTCTGCCTGTTGGACATTTTCTTTCAATACACTTTTCAGTTTTCATTTTCTCTGAATATATCTTTCTGTAATCATCCATGGTCATCTTATGCAGTTTTAGTTTTTAATATTAAATTGAAACTCAGAGAATATCATACGCTTGGAACCTGCTATTCCCGGAACAATCACAGCCACGATTTTTATCAGTTTGTGTGGTTTGGAACTGAAAAGCTTATGAAGTGTCTTTTATTAACTGCAGTTTTTTAAACCTTTCAAGAGATGACACGAATAAGGAGGACGAGGAAGATGATGAAGAAGTAGAGGAGGAGGAGGAGGAGGAGGAGGAAGAGGATGAAGAGGATGAAGGCCACAATGAGGAAGAGGCGCTTGAGTGCTATCCACCAGGCATGAGAGTCCAAGTGCGGTACGGACGAGGGAAAAATCAGAAAGTGTATGAAGCTAGTATTAAGGATTCTGATGTCGAAGGTGGAGAGGTCCTTTACTTGGTGCATTACTGCGGATGGAATGTGAGGTAACTTGAGTTTCAGCTGGTGATTGCTACCTGAAAAGTCTCGTACGGTGATTTCCTGTTTTAAAATTGAACGAATTACAGATTTATTAGTATTCCAACTGAGGTCATAGTATACCGGATAAAAAACGTGGGGTTTTGGCTTGTAAATACCTCTCTCAGTGACTTCCTCCTTACTGTTTTCAGTACTTCCAAGATATCCTTAATGTCTAGAAAACTAAAGTCTGTGTAGTTGATTTTAATGTTATGCATGTAGATTAATAGGGGCAACATTGTTGGTAAAATGATAGAAAATTTTCTTTGAAAGTTAAAAGCGATTTGAGCTTCTTGAGTTCTACAAGCCAATTATGAGGCTTCCAACTCTCTTGCATTTTCATCTACCTTTCCACGGTAACCTCTTCCTTGTTATCTTCTTAAATCATCACATTTCTTTCCTTTAGTAGGCAGGATTTTAAAGTTGTGATTTCTTAGGAAGCTTTAGCTATTTCAGGAAGGCCTTATCTCCTCGTTAGCAGCTCTTGCATTACACCTTGTTCAGAAGCCTCAGAAATTAATTTTTATGTTTGAAGCAATGACTGAAATATTATGAGCAAGTCTGCTTGACTGAAATAGGGCGCACGGTCCAACTTTACGTACCTAGGGAACTGAAAAGCGGGACTGAGTTTTCTTCTTACACAAGTTTCCTTTGGTAATATCTGAATTTTATCCAATGTTGACAAGCTAGTTTTGGGATCTGAGCAGGTAGATATCTTTGAGAAAAACCTTATTTATTTTGGAATGTCTGATACTGTATTTGGAGTAGCCTGTGATGAGTTGTAGCTTTTGAAAAGGTTGCCATCGGTGTTTTCAGTGGTGGTGGTATGGTGTGCCTAGTGTTTTCAAGGAGGAACACAGTTCTCATGACTTATGTTTACATTGTATTCTGTGGTTTGAAATGTGATTAAGAAAACATCATCTCCAGAGTGTCTGTTTTTTTAAAAAAATACACTGTTTCTTAAAAGTACAATTTGTGTTGTCCTTTTGCAGCAGTAGGAAGCTTTGGAAGCATGTCTAATCTGATTACCTTTCCTAATTTGAGAATGGTGCAGTTTTGTTCCATCCTGAAGCTTGGAAGAAAATAGCACTTAAGTCATAAGGAAATGTGTAGGGGTTTTGTTTAGGACATTTTTCTTTTATTACTTCTAACCAGAAAGATTAACAAAGTTTTGGATTTTAAGAATGCCTATCAGTATTGTTCTTATGAAACATAAGCTTCTCCAGAGACCACTTTTTAACATCGTTTGTAATTTATCCTTTTGACTGTCGGTTCTTGTGCTGTCTCTGTGGTGCATGACTTCCCTCACCTGAAGGGCTGACTATTAGTTCAAAGGAAGATAATTGAGATTACTGAGCTGCTATCAGAATATTTTGCTGTCTGTGATATTTAATCATTTTGATTTTATTAAATATATATGTAGAGGGAGTTCCACTTTGACCCAGGATGTAAACGTTAAATATGTTAGTTTAAAATTCAGAAGGAAAAATTGCATCAGTGAAAATTAATAACTACTATGTAAGGCCCACAAGATAGGTAATCTGAGATACATCATCTTTTATAGTTTTTTTGTTTGTTTCCAGTTCTTCTAGTTATTCTGCTAGGTTCTATAATGAGGCAGTTTTCCTAGTAGTCTTTATAAAATGCTTTAATTCTGTGACCAGTGGGTAGAATTTAAGCATTCTCCAAGTTTAACTGTAATTCAGACTTGATTATTTTCTGTTAATTATTTCATTAAACAGAAGAGGCATAGATAAAATTGAAACATTCATGAAATTATTCCGCAGTTAAGTTGCAACTTTGGTCTGTTAAGAAAAGATTGAATAAAAGCGAGAGTAATCCTATCCTAGGAGCACTTGGATTTTCGAGGCTAGAAGGAATGTTTGGTGCTTGCGCTTTGAAGTAGATGGAGGGTCGGGTAGAATAAGGGACGATTTTAAATGGGGGCATTCAGGTTTTTAATGACGTGGCAGAGAAAAATGAGGCCGAGTGAAACAAGACAGACTTGAGTTAATGAGAAGGATGTCATCTGCTCCTGACAACTGACACATTTGTATGGTACGAACTTTGAAAAGAAGAAAACCTTACCATCTTGATGAAGACCTGTAGAGTGGATCTGTACAGACTCCAGCATCATAGAGAAAACAATTGTACTTCAGTAGATTAAGCACTTATTTTTTTATAGTCAGTGTTGTAGGATTTCCATTTCTCTCTGGAGTAATACCCAAAGAGTCTGTCTTATTGATGAATAAGGCACTGTGAGTTTTGCCACTCCTTTACATCTGAAGCTAGTCTGATGAGGACCTCAGCAAATCCTCATCAGCTCTACAACTGTCTTCCTGTTGCTTGGGAGAGCTCCAGCTTGATTTCTGAATTTAAACTTGAGTTGTGCAATTAGAAGTGAAGATTTATGCATGAAGTTTCATGAAAATAGTTTTATTTTCACTGGCAGTCATTCATTACAGTAGCAATTTAGGAAATTTTGTATGGAGCTGTTTGAGTTTTGTTTGGTAGGAAACATTTTCCAGAAAGCAGATTTTTCTTAAGGAAAATAATATCTTTCCTAGTTAGAAAAATACTGTTTTCTTATGATTTCTACATTTTTCTTTTTTATGAAGTTCTATATAAACCTTTATGTTAATTTTCATTTATACCCCTATTTCATAACTGAAAATGTTGCTTTTTTTGTTTTTTGCATAAGAGAGTGTTTGGGTCAATTTGTTTTTAACTACTATGATGAGAAAAAAGACATTTTAATGTGCTCACACCGAATTTATGAGAAACAGCCAGAATTCTGATCCTTAACCACATTGTGCTTCAGTGCTAAGTTACTTGAGTTGTATGTGACTCTTCCCGACCCCGCAGACTGTAGTCCGCCAGGTCCTCTGTGCATGGGATTCTCCAGGCGGGAATACTGGAGTGGCTTGTCATTCCCTCTTCCAGGGGAATCTTCCTGACCCAGGGATCCAACCCAAGTCTCTTAATGTCTCCTGCATTGGCAGCCAGGTTCTTGACCACTAGCACCACCTGGGAAGCCCAAAATGGTAAAACACAGCTACAGAATTTTTCAGATATGATGACCCATATGTAAGACTATTTTCCAGTGCTATATATAGTATTTACTAGTTCACCACATGCATGTTTACAGAATTTTAAAAACTCATCCAAAAGTCGCATTCAATAGGAAAATACATAAAAGAAAGATAAGATTACTTTTTTGTATTGTAGTGTTCTCTTTTAGTCTTTTAAAAAATATATCTCCGTACATTAAAAAACTTATAGTCATACTTCAGTAGTTTTAATAGTAGGCTCACTGTTATATTTGTTTTAATTTCTCAGTGATGTTAATATTTTATAGATTTTTTTAGTATTATTAGCTAATTGATCCTTTTCACTCTCAGGTTTCTAGGTCGTACCATAAAACATGGGATTGATGTTCGAAAATAAAGTTATAGTTTGGAATTCATTGGCCATAACTTTGAGTGTGTTGGATTTATCTTTGTTCAGTAGCAAATATCCTTGTTCAGTAATATTTACAACCCTGTGTGTTAGAACTATGTAGACTGCTTGGCATGGGATTTAAAATACATCAATATTCTATCATGTATTGGTGCTGATTTATTTTTCTCCATTTCCACCTTGACTTTCTATAACCATGGATTTGGGAATTTGACTAGAGAGTTTATTTTTTATGTTGATGATTACCAACTACATTAAAGAATACCCCAACTAAAAATAAGAGACACTGTAAATTTCAACTGTAACTCAAATAACAAGTTATTTCTAGTCCATATTATGTTACAGAAAACTGAAAATAAGGTAAATTATTCTTGAATATATTATTTGAAATGAAGATGTGTCTCATTTTAAAAATACCATATTTTTGGAAGCAAATTGGCACCTCCTTGGAGGGAATAGGTGGAGTAAAAAGCTTTCACAAATGAGTTGGTTTAATCACATTTTTGTGAGCACGTACCCGCTGTTTATCAAACATGTTTCTTTATTTGGCAAACATAAGTTCAACATCTATGAGCCAATATTGTGCTTTGCACTAAAGGTACGAAGAAATATTCCCTATCGAGGAATTTGTCCAGGTGAGGAAAGTATCCCACCAGGATTTACAAACCCCTAATGCCCTCAACCTCTCCTTACATTGCTTATATTCTTCAATCATTTCTTATAATTTTTTTAATACCCCTATATCCTTCTGTTGCTCTTGTGTTGCTTTGCAACACCTGCTTGACAGAACTGCAAGAATCCTGGTTAAGTCTTAACACTCCTCCTCCTGGCCTGCACCTGTGCAGTTGGTCAGCAGCCACAGTGATTGGCCTTATTTTAAAGTTATGACTGTGAGCCTCAAGTGGGCACTGTGTGTCCTCCTCCCGGGCCCTTTCTGCTTTCTCAGACTGTTTTATTTTTTTAATGGCATAATCTTTAATTATTACTGTAAGTTTTATTGGTATCATTAACATGTAATATTATATTCAGGTGTACAATACAACAGTTTGATATTTGTATATATTACATAGTGATCACCACAGTAAGTGTGATTCATTCACATTCATCACTGTACAGTTATAGAAATCTTTCTTTTTTAATATTGGTTCTTCCCTCCTTAAAGCCCCAGCAGCTCTCCCCATCCCCACTTTCAGCTGGTGACCTCATTGGAAAATTGAAAGAAGAAAATTTCTACAGATTTCCACTACATGACCTTCTTACCTATGCATGCTGCTGTATTTTATGCCTTCTCATCTTTCACCTTAGGTGAACCAGCATGCTGCTATCTGAAACCCATCTTCTAACTGCCATGCCTTCTGCCAAAATCAGAGTTAACGGGCCCAGAAGTTCTCCTCTGTTTTCTCTATGTTTTCTCTATGTTTTCAGTTTCCTTTTCTGTTCTAAACCATTCCCATCTGTATATAGACCTGCAGTTACTTCTTTGATCTCAAAGAACACTCCTTTGAACTTA